TTTTTTGTGGGAATAATTAAAAATGTGATTGGTTAACCCACAAAAAATTGAAAAGAAATTGAAAGATAAGTGACCAGACAAGAATTTCATTTGAGTTTCAGAAATCTCAGGGATGTTGGCGTGCATGCTATTGGGCCCTGAACGGTGCTGATTTTACACTGTTTTCAATGGGGCTTGAATTAGTGGACTGGACCCATAGAAACCAGTGCAAAATAGGACCGAAATAGCGCTGCCTGTTGACTCTCGTGAAGAGGTTGGCCTCACAACCCAAGAACACTGTTCTCGGAACAGGATCACACAGGAACAGGAACACAGGAACACACGGAAAAACTCGTGAGATTTGGTTTTTGAACAGCTGCAAAAAGTTGAGAGATGGCTTCCAAAGCCAGAGACAATGGGAAGTTTTGCAAAATTAACATTAATTATCATTTCCATAACACGGGAATGAATGTTCCTGTTTAAATGGAAAAATTCAGCTTATCCAAACATTAACTCTAGAATAACGTAGCTTGCCACTTACTAACAATAACTGGTTGTTTGTTCCCCGGCGTTTGAGCGGCCGACCCACGAACAAATCGAGCTGTTCCTGAGCATACAAGAACAAGCCGCCCAAACTCAGCTAGAGGGAATGTCACCGCCCGCCTGGCCGCCTCTATCCAAAATAGGTCCGCAATTTCGGGCTTTTTGTGAAAGAAATACCCTGAACTGGAGACTATCCGAAATTCGAGGTTTATAGAAATATTTCTATGATGCCTTTTGATTATGGCCTGTCTTATTGTAAAAAGCCCGTGGGATCACAAAATATTAATGAGCTCGTGCGCAGAAATACAACCATTTGGTGGAATGCACCCTGCAGGAATCGAATTCGTGGCATGAAAATGCATAAGGGCGTCCATATTTTTTTATGGCTCTCATTTCCGACCGACCCTTATTTTGGCTCCCGTCAGGGATGCAAATACTTTTTTTGTATGCTCGACCTTCATTGGAATTTCCTACCAAGTAAAAAGTAAGAAAGATGCTAATTTCGAGGGACAAGCCGGTAGTTTTTTTACCCCCATATTTCCCCCGACTGACCCTCCCTCAACGCAAAAAAAAAAGAAAGAGAATCACGGTATTTACTCCAGATGCCCAAATGCAAGCGAGCTTCAAATCGCCTTGGACCATATATGCTTTGACTAAAACCTGGGCCTTAAAAACGTGGATATGTCTTTATGGTCAATGCTCGGATCACTCGTCGTCATTGATGGCCAGGACATTCAAAATGAAGGCAAAATATATCCCCCTTTATCTCAAATCTAAACGCGTCTTTTCAATACATGCGGTCAATGCATGGATATTTCAACGTCCAGAGGCAGTATACATGTAACTTCATCTCGTGACGTCACATTCCTATTAACGAAGACCATTGGCAAGCCCATGAAGTAATCAGAACGGGTGGTTGAACATTAGGTGTCTGCTATTGCAAGTCTTGCTGGAAACCAATACAAGTCTATTAATTGCAAAGGGTAATAAAGGCGCGCGCGAAATCACACACTATGCTTCACGAGTAGTGTGTCAGCAACTGCTGAAATTTAATATCAAAAGGCTAAAGACCACAAAAGATTGCACGCCACAAGTGCAATTAGGCTGGTAAGGTTTCAGGGTTATAAGAAGGTTTACTATTTTTACTTAATTTAGAGCATGGAGGTAGAATCATTCTACCTCCATGATTAGAGTGGAACTGATCTGTGTGCATGCCTGGCCGGAAATGGCAAACGCCAAGGAAAGCGCTTCCCGCAAACAACAGCTGATCATGAGGATTGGTGTCAGTTTTTTGGGCAAAGGGTTCACTTCTAACTGCAATAAGAAAGTGCGCAAGTGCCTCGATGAAAACACAACCACAATGTCTTGTGTTTCCTTTACCGTCATTTTGTAAAAGATATATTACCCACGACCATCCTTTAACTCTTTAAAGGCTTTAGTGAGAAAAAGAATGAGGAAATCGGGTCGCGAGAACAAAGTAGGCTCACTTTGAAAAGGCGGCAGCCAAACTTTGCCCCTTGCATCTTTCGCATCAAAACTGGAACAACAAACTCTAGCCTTTCAGGAAAAGTTGGCACCAAAGTCTTGCTCATCAACCGGGCTTGGTTGTTCCAGACTGCCTCATCACATATCCCTTGTCCTGTTCAACCATGGGTCATTCCAATTTGGCAAGTTCACTGGGGCAAGCAAAGCCTGTTCACGCTGAACAATAAGGCCCCAAAACTGTTGTCTCCTTCCATTAATTGGCGTATAGGATTGTTAGGGGATTACACTGTGGTACGAAAATGAGTTACTTAAAAAAGTACGAGTCAACTTAAGCTTTAGGGCCTATATTCTCTGCCATAAAGACGTGCATTGTGTGCGTGAGACCACAAGTGACCACCCCCACAAGATTCACCGTCGACGAGGAAATGCATTGTGGGACGTATTAGTTCCTTAAAAAGTACGGGTCAAAATGTTATGAAGTATTCTCTCTCATAGAGACGCGCACTGTCCATGGATCCAGAGGCCACATTTTTGTTGCGTAACGTTGGAGCTATGGTCAAAATTGGAATTCGATGAATATAATGTCAACGACGACTCAGTGAGAGGCTCGAGTGATCGTAAGTGGTATTGAGATCCGCACAGGCTAGACTTATAAGATCCCGCAATTCTGTCGCTACGGTCACTTAGTGGCCAAGCAGTTGTTTGTAGAGGGTCAGACTCATCGAAGCGCAGTAAAAGTACCTTTAGTTTTAGGCTGGAAAGGCAGGTACGGCTAGATTTTAAAATGTGCATGAATCTGTTACGTATCTACTGCGTAATTCTTTGCTGAAAAGTAATCCTCATAGTCAAACATAAATCCCTCATCCCCTTCTCTATGCATGTGCATGACAAACTGTACATGATCTACGCTTATCTGCTTCTCCAGCAACAGCATGGCCACACTGTCATTACGAGTCAACTCTTCTCAACTTATCCCTTACCTTTCGTCATCTCCCTGCCTGTACTTAAGCTTTATTTCATTCACCCTCTCGTATTTATAGTTTCTCAAGGATTTGGAACTCTTTACCACCACTGCACATTAGGATTCAGCAGTCACCAGTTCTCTCTTCCAGTTCTTAAAAGATCTAAAGGCGTCATTCCATCCCGGTAGGTAAGCCTGTTTGCCATTTGGCTATTGCACCAGCTTTTGGAACCAGCTTTAGTTGTTTCTTAATTTTCGATATTTGTTCTGCTATAGTTGCACGTAACACGTTTGTATATTTTTTTCCTTCTTGTCACTGCTCTGTTTTAATATGTGTGGGCCTACATACCTGTACCATACAAGGGCATCCAATTTCTTGAAATTGAGAACTCACTCGAAACACTTGATGGTTGATGTTCCCTTCATTTTTGGATGAGCATAGCTCATTCGGACGCAGGTGAGTAAAGCCGCCCGCAAGTAGGCCTACTGTACTGTGGTTGATACATGCAGCTCTCTGAACTGGGAGTAAGGCTGCCTTTGTACATGGCAGCGTCTGCAAGATACGCCCTTCCTTCGTATGAAAAGTTGCACCCATGCCTCATCTTCATTAATTAACTTGCTGGTTCTATCATAATGTTGTGAATGTATAGACTGCTTGGATATCTGAATCGTGTTTAACTTGAGGGAACCTCGGTTAGTCTAAAATACGGCAGGTACCTCTTCGAACACATTCCACGTACGTACCGGTATCCTCGCCTTTTTCCAATTACACTCAAAGGCAGATATTATATTTGGTTACAACCTTAATCAACATTAAACATTGGCAGGGGTGCTGCCGAGTTCTGCATCCGCGAGCTTATGCACAGTTGACACAGCTAATAATACAACCACATCAGTGTCAAGAGAACTACAAGGAGTGTGTAGTGATGAAAGCAGGGTGCAATATACTAAACGTACATTAATCCTAATGTGAACAAAATAGACTATTATTGGTAACAAAACAGTGGAAACGTATACAAGGTCATTCCATAGCGTGATCACTATACATCGTAAACGAAAAGATTTTTTTTCCGACACCGAAAGCGGAAATTAACGGTAATTTCTATTCTGATTTTTGTGAAAACCTTTTACGCTCATAAGAAACTCGGTAATGGTATTATGCATTTCCGCATTGCCCCAAAATACTTCATAATGTTTTATATCTTTGGGAAAAGCCACGACAGGAGGGCCACAACGAACTTTTTGCCATTGATAGTGTGTCCGATTTATGATTTTACTTGTAAGCCAAATTTAGTGCATCCCATCTCTTTCCCGTTTTTAGAAATGGCACCCACGCTGGGCTATTCGCTTCAAGGGATATTCATGTTTACAATCACATTCATCTTTAGATTTTCGCTACACAAGGATCAGTACGCATTTGGATTTATAAGTTTCCAAACGCATGCAGTCTACCTTCCGCGACGGTGAGAGATAAAAATTTGTATTTCATTCCTTTACAGCAGAGGCCATTCACCATGAACACCAGTGAAGTTGAACTCAGTCGTCCTCTGCCTGTTCAGGTCTTTCTGACCGTTAGCCTGTCTATAGTGATGCTGGTGGCCATCGGCGGCAACCTGATGGTCTTCCTCGCCGTCTCGCGAAACACTTCCCTCCGCACTCAGGTCGCCAACACCTTCATCGTCAATCTGGCACTCACAGACTTTGGGTGTTCAGGTGGGTTCATATAAAATGCTTTTCGTACATTTCTTGATTTCCATGAGTCGAGTCGAGCCACCTCAGCCTGAAAATGACCCGGTCACAGAATTTAGTGACTCGTTACAGTAATGGGTTAAACTCAGACACGATGCCGGATTTATTATAGGCCTAAGATTGATATAAGGTTAACTAATTACAAGATTAATAACAAATTTATACTTTCAACTTTTTCTATTTTGCCCTCAGTTTTGGTAATGCCATTCTCGCTGGTATCCATGTGGCACAGTCATTGGGTGTTCTCTTCCTTCTGGTGTGATGCAGTGTGCTTCTTCAATTACTGCTTCATCATCACCTCCATGTCGACGCTCGCTCTTATTTCAGTGGACCGCTACATCTACGTAATCTACCCTCTCCGCTATGATGTCATCATGTCCCGCGGTCGTGCCATGGCGCTAGCCCTCTCCACCTGGGCGGTGGCCGTAGCCTTTGCCGTGCCCCCGTCGAGTCTCGACTGGGTGCAGTACGACAACTACGAAATCATCTGCGCCATCGACTGGGAGACGGGCGACTTCGGCACGTCTGCGATCGTGTACACAACCACTGCTTTCGTCATCTGCTTCCTAACACCGGCCGCGGTGATGGTCTACTCTTACTGGGGCGTTTTCAAGGTGGCCCGCAGGCACGCAGCCCGAGTCCTGCCTGTCATACACATGACAGAACAGGCCCGGCCGGCCACTGGTGTGCGGCGTGAGGAGTCGCCCTGGTCTGTGACAGCTGGAACCGATACTCAACAAACGAACAGGGATCGTCAGGAGTCGCGACACGGTAGCCTAGCAAGCAGCTCGAGCAGCGGCAGTCGCGAGAGGAAACAAGTCACGAAGGCAGTCAAGCCAATTTTGACTATGGTAGTCATTTACGTCGTGTGTAACACGCCCTTCTCCCTCACCAAGTTGATCAAGGTCGTCATGGCAGGTAACCAGACCGTGCCGTCTTATGTTAGTACGCTCGCCTCCTGGATGGCTTTCCTGAACCCTGCCTGCAACCCCATGATTTACTCCATCATGAGGAAAGACTATCAGAGGGTCTTCTGGGGGTTTCTACCGAAAAGCTTGCAGCGGTATAGGAGGAGAGACTCAGAACAGGGCCCAACACGCAAGGCTACGGGTCTAGCCGTAGCCGTGTCGGGAACTCCATGAACTCGCGTGCCCTTCACCTTGTCCTTCGATTCAAGACCTGTATTTGATATGACACATAGCCACCGCCCATAGGCAAAACATCTTAATATATGTAGGCTAGTGTTGCAAACAAAAATTATATTTAAGCCCAAACCATTAAGTAGCGCCTACACTTTAATTAAATGCCTGTGTAAATTATGCATAAAAGTAGGATTATGTCGCCATCATGGTGGCAGGCTGTCGCGTTATTTTGCAATAGGCCTATCTAAGGGTCTCAGTTCAGGAACTAACCAATTCAAGTTCATTCGGAAGCCAAGCGCAAAAATTCATGTAATTTCTCGAAACGAATTGTGGCAGAGCAAAGCGAAGGGAGATTCTGGGTTTCATCTAAAATTATTATCCGTGAAGCGAACTCAGCTCACCGGGGTGTGCCACTGACAGGTTGTGGACCCAGGAACAAAAACAGTGCTCTCTGTACGTCTATTACCATGAAAAATATCAATGGCAGCACCTCCTGTGCCGGCTGTGGACGCAAGTATCGCACACGCTGGTCTGCATACACACACACGATTCTGTACCGCCTACCAAACCTAAGTCCTTGTCTTCTCACATGCACTAGTCACCATCGAAAACGAGGAACAGCCGATGATGATGATCAATGGCGCCCTCTGTTGAGATGGCTCATTTTGGATGTACGAAAAACGTTTTAAACAAATTCTTTCGCACTCCTACAAGCATGGCCGTAAATCGGCAAGGGGGTGTATCCCCCCCACTTTTTGAGGTGGGAGATGGGCTGTTGAATCATCCCCCACTGTTTTGTGACGAGCAAAATCATTAAAGCGGATTGTGATGAATTATCAGGATTTTTCAATGACTAAACTGATTGCAATATCACTAAATTAGAATTCAATTTTAACCATAGATTATCAGATTCTGATGGCAGAATCTGCACATTTGATACACATTACAAATGTGCAGCTTTGTCACGACCATCGTCCCCTATATAGCATACATGGTGCCCCCACGTCACTGCCCTTAAGTATTTTGATAAGAATGATTCTCGCGGAAAGTCAGTGTTGAAGTTGAGTATTTTATAGTCAATTTCCAGGATGTATAAAATTTGTGTTTTCTTGTGAAAATTATTGTCAAACAGCTGCACGCTGCGCATACATTACGATGATTATACGAAACAAATTTTTTTGTCTGCTTGACTGTATATAAATACATGTATAGCTTTCTGAACAAATGATTGGTCCGTCACAACAAAGGCAACAGTGACATTAACAGTTTCAGTTTGGCATTTTAAAGAGATTTTTCAAAATTTAGTAACTTTTAATTACGCACAGAAAGGGTGATGGAGAACAGCCTATGCCCGTAATTTTGTTTATGCAGGGTGTTATGGAAAGAAAAGTACTTCACTTTCTAGTGTCATAAAAAAAGTATTTTTAAGAACTCTGGTTAAAATGTGATCTGTAAATTCCTACTTTACCATTCAGCAGAATTCAGATTTCAAAGAAAATTCATATTGTTATTTTGTTCAAACAGGATTACAGAAGTCTTTGAAATTGAAAAAGTATAAACTCTACGTGCTGCCCATCATTCAGGATCATTCCGAACCTGTAAACATTAACAACAGTAGATTTATGCAGCCACCCACCAAATGGGTTCTAGCTAATTACGTAGACTTTATTATGCACAATCCAGATTCAAATTGAACAGCAAGCATTACATTTCTGTTTCTCGAGACAAACATTTGTGCTTAAAAGGATAAAGCTGAGGGAATACTTTTAAAAGTCAGAGGCAACAGTTAACACCAAAATACATGTACATATACATGTACTGTACATCAACAACTCATTAAAAATTAAAGTGTCGACAAAACTGACTACATCTCTGTTCATTATAGGAAGCTTTCTGGCTGTATAAACATAGATAAAAACATAAAAAAATAAAGTACCCATTGTTAAGTGCTTTCACCACAATAAGTACAGTTGAACCTCGTTAATAAGAAGTCTTTAAGACTTGGCAAATTACCTTGTTATAACAGGAACTTTGTACATTTGTATTATCAGGAATGAGAACAATGAAAAACAAAGGATTGGGACCTGAAAATATTCTTGTTATAAGCAGAATCTTGTATTAACAGTGCTCTTATTAACGAGGTTCGACTGTATTTGCAATGAATGCTTTCTGTGGTATGTACATTGTTACAGTGTAAGAAGGCAAAGTTAAAAAGAAAAAAAGGGAAAGAAGGAGTGGCTCATTAGCCTTTCCCTGTGGAATGAAGTACGTCTGTGCATCTGAGCTTTAGTATTTCAATTCAGCTATTTCTTCCAAAGTGATCAAACACATTTTGAAGACGAGAACCCTTCAAGTTGTAACTGGAGGAAATTTATAATCAAGCCAGATGTAAAAGACATAAATGAAAGAAACAGAACAAACCCCTGTACATGTACATGTACTGTAAAACAGCAAGTTAAAATCAATGCACAAAAGCATTTCAACGAAAATAATGAGTGCTGTTTGACAGACTAAAATGCAAAAATTAACAATCATAAGAAGAGACAAATCCATCTTGTTATGTCTATACACAATGCAATAACTTCACTTAAGTTTGTTTCTATATAGACAAGATTAAGCACCACATTATGCTCTCACTGCATTCAGCTATACTAGGACAATGAGGCAATGTACATTTATTGCAAAACACATAAAGTTGAACTGTATAGGCTACTATGAGGAAATGCCATTATCGTGGTGGCACCACACTGCGCTTTGCATTCTTACACTTCAGGGAACTCACGACAGTCTATCGGTCGAAGGGGTATGTCAAAGCACACGGACCACCTGTGCGTGAGCGTTGAACCACCGCAGTAATGGCTTCTCATTCTGGTAGCCAAATTACACTGAGTGCCCCCCCCCCAAATCGTGCAAGCAATATGCCGTTCACTATAAACATAAAATACCACTTTTCAGTCGCAATTGTAACTCCTCAGCCTGTTTCAGTGGACGGCACTGATATGGCAGTGAAATTCAAATATGGGTGACATGCATCTTGGCGATTCAGCTAGGTCCAGCCAGGCTAGACAAATTCAATTCAGAGCGATTGGGGGGATACCGGGACATATCTCTGGGTTGCAAAAAGCTAGAAAAATGAAACCGGAATAATCAAGATGTGTCCTCTTTAACCCAACTGCAAGTTTAACATACTGCCAGTCGATGTTTTATGTTTACACAGAACAGTATTTGCTTGCATGATTTTTTTAGATGGGGGACAGACTATGTAATTGTAACATTTACAAATTGGTAGAGTGCTCTCCTGGTCCTATCATTGTTAAGTTCTTGGTAACAAAATAAAACTTTTACCTTTTATTATCATTCATGAAATAATTACTCTTTTGCCCGAGATAAAAAGTTTTCTTGCCAGTTGGGGTGTGTGTGGGGGGGAGGCCTTCACCCGGTTAAGGGGATGATTTCTTTTGTCAGGCAAATTAGGACCGAATTATCCCTGTGACACTGTCGGTCCCCTCAAAATTGGTGAGAATATTGTGTGTTTGAACCCACAACTTCTGAAAAAGTATGGGTGTGTGAAGGCCCTTTCACTGGCTTTTGTACATGTAGGCACAATAGACATATACCTGGCAAGATACAGGATGGAGGGGTATCCCCTGTCCAAACCCCACAGACTCTCTAGACCACTGTTATCTAACACATCCCCACTAGATGTCTGAAAAGTATACCTGAGATTCCGATTCTCATTGTCCCATATCTTGCTTCAAATGATTCCAAAGGGTGAAACCCTCACAATTCTGGCATTTGTCTCTTGAACAAGTATGAATTTGGCTTCTGGTTAGTGTTAAGAAAAGAAAATAAAAGAAAGAAAACTGCTTAACTCAGGTAAGGGTCTGGGTGGTATTTTGCAAGGGCCTCCACGTGTCCACAAAGTGCAACACTTCCGATATCAAGGAGTCTACTACACTCGGCTGGTTATTATCTCAGGACGGCGAGAGTATCCCATCATGTTCACATTTCACTGAGCGGCTTCAAGAGTAACTCAGTGCCAAGTGATTCAAACTGACCTGCACTGATTTGAACGAACCGCATCGTGTTTGGAAATTCCATGCTCAAGCCTGGCTGATTTTCTCTATGAAGTTTTACATTCTGCAACTAATCCGAACAATCAACCCCAATACCCTTTCCTGTTTAAATACGTGTCCAAATCACCACGGGAATACATAATTCTTTATCAATAACTAAGCACAGTACCTGGTTTACAATTAGACAATGACGACGCTGAAAAAAATAAACACTAAAAAGTTCCAAAGCAACCTTTAAATGTGTAACAAATCTTGAACCTTTCGTGTCAGATTGCTGGTTGACCATTGACAGTATACCACTACTCGACCATAAAAATACCAGCACAATGATCACAATAGCATGTTCTTTAATGCACTAAACTACAGTAAAGTTATTAGTTAAATCTTAAAATTGCAAGATTTCATCTGGACTCTCTTTTTTATAAGCTAGCTACAACCTGCCGACCAAATAAAAGCAACCGTTGATGTGATGTCTAACGAAGAAGCCCCTAAATTTCATTTTTCCCCACATTTTGTTTTTAGTTGCTCAAGTACTCCCTATTCACCAGCTCTGGTATGATTGATTTTCTATATACACTTCTTAAAATAAGGAGGAAAAAGAACAGAGAATTTTCCATAGATGACTATCCCCTTCCTTTTGTAAATATTGAAATTTATCAGAAAAACAAAACCAACGTTCCTAGTGTTCCCCAATAACAATTTTTTTCGTGATCTCCTTATACAGACAATTAGCTGCGTAGTATTGTTTGTGAAATATGCAAATATTCAGACTTAAGTGATTTAGTATTATACAAGTGCATGCAAATACATTCAGCTTTGTACATGCCAATAAGCAAGATTTTGTAATGTGTTACCTTGCTAACAACAGAGGATGACCATATAGAGGATGGTCATCCTGTTGTTTTTTTTGCAAGGGAACAGGTGTTATTATAGAACACAGTGGTGACTAAGTGAAAATCAAAAACTCACCAAATGGAGAACCAAGGGAGATGTGCAAATGTACCTTATTTATTGATCATACATTTGCTAAGGGCTGTGAACGCCAGAATGAAAGGATACCAGTTAGTTTTACAGCCAAAAGCCTTTGCAAATTCCCCCCCCAAAAAAAAAACCCCTGTGAAACAAGGTGCAACTTTTCAATAGCCAGTTACTAGTGAAAATGAAAAAAAGACATTTCTTGCACCCAAGTGAATGCCTCCCAACTTCTCTCTGGTTAAATGCATGGTGCAGAGCGTAACCCAGCAGCAGGGTGGGGGACACCCTGCTGGAGAACTCTTGCAGTGTCAACATGCGTTTACAACTACCTACAGGGTACTCATAGAGGGTGACGTTTCTGCCGATGACCGATGGTTCTCGGATGTATAATAAGCAGTAATGAAAAAACCGGACAGGGAACTAGACTTCTGTTACATATTTTCTGAGGCCATCTTCCGGGCAGCTGACATTGGTGGCGGCTTTAGAAATCCACTCAGCTGATGTCTTTAGGTTGGTCAAAGATCAAGGATCTGGTCAAGTCAGATCTTCCTCACAAATGGCATACTTAAAAAGCTCATCTATAATTGGAGGAGTGTCATGAGGGAGAAACCTCCCTCAAATAGTACTGCAAGCAAGTTATTTTCGTAACTGTATACGGTAACAAAATGGTATGACACAAATCCAATCTCTAGCGAACAGAAAGCCAACTAACCAAAGAGATCGAGAACAGGACTTTGGCTGGAAGCTCTGGGCAGGGGACTAGCATCAGGCTGCGGTACAGTCAAAACTCTATCAAAAATTACCATAGTTCTTAAGGTTAACCCTTTCGAAAAGTCTCTTCCCACAACAAGTCTGAGGAGCTTGAGAGGGTAGACACTGGCTGGCTGCAAAGATGGCTCAGCAGGGCAAATAAAACGATCAAACACCACTAACTAATATGCTTCTGCATATCCGAGATGCTAGACCATGTAGGGGGTGTCATCAAAGGGGGTGGGGCAAAGTGACAAGTTTTTTGACCCAACTATCAAATTTGTTTTTCCATCTCTAACAGAAACCTCCCCTTTCAAAGAAAGGTGGCACTATGATTTTTTAAACTGTTTGCATGTCTTCAATTCTTGACAGCCACCTTCATCCCGGAGATACACTGGGGAAAGGGGGAGGGGGCAGGGGAAGGGGGCAGGGGAAGGGATGGGAAGAAAGGACAGGAATTAAGAAGGATGTGATTCTGTCTTCTGATCTTACAAACTCATTCCGAGCGTCTACATGCGAGTGAAGGTGGCAAGCTGGTACTTGCAGACTGGGCATGTGTGGATGGCATCCTGGCAGCTGTCGATGCAGAATGGGATGAAGCAACAGATCCACAACCTGTTGAATATTGACAGTGGAGTATATATATAGCATATCAAATTACTGCATAGCTGGGACTCCATCATTAATTCTGTGGTTCTCATAATTTTTTGACCTCGAGGGAGGGTCAGTCAGTTGGGGGAAAAGAGGACTAAAAACTACTTGCTGTTCCAAAAATTCTAAAGATTATCATTTTCTCCTCTCACTTTTTTGAAGGTAAACTTGCCACACTGGGTCAAGGGCATAAAAGAAGCATTTTCGGTTGGTCGGAATCAGAATACATGTACGACCGGTCACAAATAATAAGAACCACTGAATTGACTACAGGTGCCCTAAGTACACTTTTTTGTGAAATCAATCGCAAGTACAATGCGCAGGTACCAGTACGCCACCAATTTATGGCATAAGGCTTGCGCGTGGCTCTGGTTCTGGTTCTATACTGCGCAAACACTTCCTCAGTGATTATCAGGCGCAGGTCGGAGTGAGGTTCATAGTGGCTAAATCTTAAAGTGAACTTTTTGTACAAGATTGAGAGGGTCCAAATGTTCAATCCTACTTTTGAATGTCTTGACATCAGGAGCAGATCGTATGCTAGGTGGTAGTAGTTCCATTCCCTTATTGTCCTTGGACAGAGAGCGTATTGATAGCAAAGTTTGTTGAAGTTTGGAGGATTAATGATGTGGGGACCAGTGTTGTGTAAAACAAACCTCAAATTGCGCAAAATAGCGGTAAAAAGGACTAAAAAACTAAGTGAAAACACAGCTAAAATCGCCACGTCCGCCCCACTCCGACAGCGCCCTCCTCAAAGTAAAGTTACTTTAAAGTTACCCCAGATTATGGAAAATTGGCCGTTGGTTCAATAAAAAAAATTTAGTAAATAATTCTAATGCTTTCAGCATTTCCTCCTCAACCAATGATCTCTGTTATTTCCCCCATCATCAGGCCAGAACCAGGCAGCAGTCCCAATGTGTGCGAAATAATGTCTCTGCTCTCACAGTTAGGGAGGTAAGCAGGGGGGGGGAAGTGGCTTGCCTCAGGTGACATGTTACTAACTACTGGATTCACACCATGACCCACTGCTGGGGAGTCAGGGGTTTCAAAATAAGCCGGCAACCGGCATATTTGACCGGCTACTTTAACTTTTGCACTGGCTACGTTTTTTCCAGTCATGAAAACAAAAACAACTGGACCCCACACTATTAGGGGCTGGGACTTGCTGCCGCCTCCTTTCATCCATCTACATGTACCTGCTACTCGGAAACCTTTTTTTATTCACACGTTCATGATGAAAAGAAAATTACAGCTCACCCAAAGAAAAACATGATCAAGCAGAGGAGCCAGGCCAAGGTCCCTGTGACGTAGGTCACCTGTGAGGTCACGGAGTTGTGGCAGTTAGGACACTGGCACTGGACGGGGAACTCCCGGAACGTCTGCTGAATGATGGTGGTGACAGCAGGCTGGGCAGTCACCACAGCAGTGGTGTGCATTGGCTGGCCCTGGGGCGGGTAACCGGGCTGGCCCTGGGGCAGGTATCCCGGCTGGCCCTGGGGTGGGTAACCAGGTTGGCCCTGCGGGGGATAGCCCGGCTGACCCTGGGGAGGGTAACCTGGCTGGCCTTGCGGGGGGTAGCTGCCATCTACAGTTGAGCAAGGGATTAAGGAAAAAAGGAGATTTTTTAAAAAAGAGGCTAAGTATACACATAAATGAGACCAGTCCGTCATATTAAACACATCTGCAGAGATGCCAACCTTTCAAATTGAAAAGAGTGATATGCTGTGAGATACATGTACATGTATATGCCTCGGACACAAATTTCGAAAATTATACTTTACCCCTCTTGAAACCCCAAGTTTTCACTTTGTAATTTACAATTACATCCATTAGCATATTCTCTTGATACTATTAAATCGTAAAATATGATATTAGGATCATAAAATCGTAACTGGACTAAAAAAATCACACAAATTCCATCTATATCCTAAATATTGGCATCTCTATATATGAACTAGCAGTGAATTCACTAGTGCACTTCTATGCTCTGAGGGATTGTAAGTGACTAAAAGATGGTCCTATTCCTCAAGGCTTAAGACTGAAGGAAATTGGACCATCTTCTGGTCATTTGTAGGCCACGGGGGGCAGAGATATGCACTAGTGACCAAATTTTGCCAGTCCATAGGTGTTTTGTAAGACACCTCTGTCCAAATATTAGCATTTTCATTATTGGTTTATTTCCACTTGCTTGCAATCCAAAGGTTGACCTGTATGGTGGTTGCAGCAATAAAAACTGTGGAAAGTACAGAGACGCTTATAAATTTACAAATAATCTTTTAACAGTTGAGGGCGCTGTAACCAGTCAAAAGTATTATCAGAGTGCCAAATCAGGCACAGTAGTTTGAAAATTACACACGCGTGATGTTCCGATAAGCGTCTAATTTCCCGTACAAATTTCACGCAGCCTGTATTAACCAACCAGCCAGCCTGCCAGTCAACTTCTCAACCCAAATTCCTACATTTTGTACATGTAGTTGTAAGTCAAATTTCATTTTTTCATTTCTTCCTCGGAAGCAAATCCTTTTCCAACCCATCAAATCACTGCAATACAAAAATGAATTGAATGAAATGTTAAAAATGGCAATTTTTCAATTGCCAAGAGTTCCTCAAAGCAAGTTCAAATAAATTTATTGAAGAAATCTTAGGATCTCTTTCCAAGAGAAGAAATTCAATCAACTTTCCTGATTCATCAAAATCCACGAGAAAATATGAAGATTCTAGCTTTTTTTTAGGATGGTACGGCTCAGGCACTATTTCTGTACATGTAATAACATTTACACTGCAATTGGTACCCCTTAAGGTACCAAGTCCATGTTCATAGAGCATGGTGTTGAATGCCTGCCGGATGGCAAAGGTCTGCAAATGGCACCACCATTAAATTCACAGGAAGTTTTACTTCCAGGAACAAATTCGCCAAGCTCTCTAGCCACGCTTGTTTACAAAGTAGCTTTTGAATATTGCATGAAAAGCATTGGGGGAAAGCCGGCGTGCTCAAGAAATAAAAGGTTCCGCACATAAACACTATATGCTGATATGCCAATATGAGACATCTATGAGATAAATATAACATGAAAGTCTCTCGACAATTCTCAGATGTAAAAGTGAATGACCCATCCTGATACACGTCATCTACATGTACCTTCAGTTCTGCCTGAAAAGATCTTGGGCATGAAAAAATGAGTTATCCCTTCTTCCTCTGTCTACAAGAGCCATCTGCACACAAAATACATGTAAGCAACTGCTTCCAAAATATATTTTGAAACAGAAGAAGTAGAAGGGAAAGTGAACAGCTGGCACTGTGAGTGAAGTTTCCACGTGAGAGAAGTCGACAAATTTCCCCTCAATTACAACATGAAGACATACATGTATGTTCTTACATGTATTTCTCCATGCTCATATTGCCCGATATTCTTATGGGCAGCAAAAGGTTGCGGAAAACAACCCCGTGGTTCATGCCAGGTTTCACATTTTGCACTTGCCATATTACCTCTAAGTGGGCCACATTCTCATTTTAATGGTCAGTATTTGGTAATGTTAGTACTAAACGTGTACATTTACATGGACTATTCAGTATTTTGACAGCTGCGCAATTTTTGTCAACACTGTGTGAAGTACTATTTGGTTTTGTACTTATGGCCTACCACAGTTTGCCAGGAGCTGGTGAGAAAGGATCTGACTGTGATGTAGAAAGACAGCTCTGGGTTTTAGAAAAAATATTGTGCATTTGGCTTACAAAAGCAAACAGGTACATGAAGTCAGTGCATACCGTATCAAGAATTAAACGTGGTAGGTCTAACCATGGAGGAAGGAAGACTACCTCTATGGTCTAACATGTTAAACATGGACATGAACCAGTAGTTGTACATGTACATGGATTTGTGTAATGCCCACTTGCCCAGGAAGATCTGCTACAAGCATGCGGCTACTTTTTGCTCTCCAGAGTCTTCAGCTACATGTACCCCTTAAAAAACTCCAACCTAATTAATGTGCAGACAATCGGCCCCATACTATTGATTATACCCTTGAGATAACTCCCCACAGGTCCCCGGCAGTTGTCTGGCATTCAACAGTACAAGGAAATTAGTGGATGTACATGTACATGCAGACCTTGGTGCAGGCCAAGGCACTGATGATTAATAATGTTTGAACAATAAACACAGACTTGCACATCATTCTACCCTATGATGACATGTACCGTTTGTACAATGTAAATTTGGTACTTTGCTCTGAAGCAGGCATAATAAACTTCTCTCTTTGTGCAAAATGCTGGAACAATCATTCTGTCAGTGATGTTAACAGTGAGGGTAAGAATGTGACTGAAGGAAAATAAGAACGGACCCAGAGCTCCACACACTGTACATGTTCATGAGCTAGCAGGCTACATGTACACGTGTACATGGCTAATTCCAGAAATAAGGGATCAATTTTTGTTTTCGTGAACCTGTCACATCTGACATAAGATTTTGTAAGTTAAGAACAGATTTTCCTAACTTCCAAGAGTGACGAATGAATGCAAATTACCTGCCAAAGAAATAGTAATAGTTTGAAATCCATTCCGGTTTCCATGTCAAATGACAAAGGTCAGATGAAATAGCGACAAAAAGATGTCACACTTTTGGACCCCTCATTTCTAGAATTACCAACATACATGCACATGTGTTGGCAGGAAACATGGTTTAACACATACACATGGTAGGCCCTACTGGTACACACTACACAGACCACACATGTACATGTAATGGCACATACAGAGCTTGATAAATAATAATTGTGAGTGTACCTACTGACTAAAGCTTGCTCAGGACTTTTTTATTTCTCCAACACCCACCCACAGCCAGACTTCTTTAGTCATTGTGCACACATGTACAACTTCAAGCACATTTTAACAAAGCAGCTCCATAATTGTGCATGCATGATGGAGCACCCATCATGAACAACCATATGGGTGTATGCCTAGCAAACACAACCTGTCTGTACCTCCCGTGCTTAATGAAAATAACACTGATCAGACTTTATGGGTGGAGTGAACTAATTCCAGCCTTGTGGAAAACAGTGTAAAATCAACGAAGTTTAAGCCTCAATAACATGCAAGCTCACATTACTGTGCATGTACAGCATTCAAGATGAACCTACTGGATATGTCATCTGATTTTAAAAAACAAAAAGGAATCTGAAGGATCCAGTTCTTTTCATGTGAATAATCCGGGTTGCATTTGTCACACTGTTTACACAAATGTACATGTATAAGTGTACATGTTTCACGTTTATAAAGCCTGCATTGCAACCGTTTCTTGGAATTGGGCAGTGTCGGTACATGTACTGAAGAAGGCAAAAATTCCAAGAACCAGGTTTTTAAAAATGTGAATATATCTGTACACATACGCTGATGCTCAAGTTCAATCTGGATACTCAAGATTAATGTCTTTATTCTTCATTTATGCTGTTCTTAGAAAGCATTTATCTGTTTTTGAGCGGAACTTCTCAAAGCTGCCCAAACTACGAAAGGCAGTGAGGAGTGACGGAATTGAAATACACATCCTCTGCGCGCCAAGGGACACGTTAAAACTTTACGCGATGCTGGTCAGAAAGCAACAGTTATAAATAGGCATGCACCTATGTCCCTATGCGTGTAAATTAAAAATTACACCAGTGCATTTGCACACATCACACAAAGCTATTCGTTCATCAGCATGTGCATGTGTGTGTTCATGTAACGTGTATGTATCGACCTCACAGGCAGGGGCAAAGAAGCTGATCATCATATGAGTCCAATCAAGCATGATTCAACATCAGCTTGCAGGCAACAGGGCATTCTCTAGACCAGACATGTCATCAAGCTTGAGTCAGTGACAGTCTCAGTGACAGCAAATTATGTCTTTTAATAGTTTGGAATCTAAAAAAAAAAGTCTCATCACCTCTCATGATGAGATGGTGAGTCTCATCATTATCAGTCTAATACATTATTTGTATATGCACTCCTTTTGGCTTTACCGACCCATAAGAGTTTAAGACGAATGTGTAGAAAGCATCAAACTCTGTAGGGGAGCAGGTCAAGTGATAATCTTTTAATCTCTCAGAAATGATCTGATAATCCTGATATCCATAGATTCCATACCACCTGAAAGACTCATTTGAAGGGCCCGTGCAATACAATTCTTTTAATTAATGCAGTTCTCGCGTACGCACAGGTACCCTGTAATATGTATTTAATCTTAGTGTTTATTTCAGGTTTGCCATTTTTAACAGCACTTTAATGTCTTTTAATTAAATTAATTTATTCTCATCTTTTGCTCATATGCACACATCTGAGCAAAACCATGATGCTAAATTCAGGAAGAAACCTCAATGTTACGGCCTTTTTCACACTAAAATTTGCCAGTATTTTGTCTTAAGTTTTCAACTTTTCCTTCCATTGGTGTTTTTGTTGTTTCAGTATGGTGGTGCATGTATCTTTTCAATGTTCATGACTGTTGCCCCAAATTAAAATGGCATCAACAACGCCCTCGTTTGTCAAGAAAAGAACCATAATTTTATATATACTCAAAGGTGCAATGCACTTTTCATTACAAATGCAATGTGAGAATTTTCAATACATGTACAATGCACAGGGGGGCCTCAAATTTCCCAACGGCCATCAAGGCCATGGACTACCCTGATTTTCATGTACATTGCTGTGTTCAAAACCACTCAGTTGACTGGCCGGGCCAGTTTCTGTGGTAGGCAAAATGCTGAGGAGAGAACAGCTGCAATCAAAACCTGCAATGAAGCCTTTCAACACTCGGCCGCTGGTTTGGCACTAATCACGGACATCTTCAGATATAATGCGTATCCTACTTTTTCTCAGGCCTGAGTGAATATTGATTTTCACGCAATATCGATATACCTCATTTAGAAAATACACTTTCAAAAAAAAATCGGGATGGCATTAATGCCCAGAGCTTTGGTACGCTGATGGCATTAATGCCCCTACGTTTGGCATTAGTGCCCTTTTCCAGCCAGTCCACCAATGCCAAATGGCAGTGCCCTTAAAAAAATGAAATTCGAAGCCTCCAAAGGCAGACATACATGTATACATGTACCGATAAATGAAAGTGGAACAATGACCTTAACAACAAAACCAGATTGAATTGAAAATTTGCATACATGTCAAAAGTTTCACAAAGAATTGTCTGTGTATCAGCCTACGCAAATTGCTTGAACAATCCCAGGAGGCCAGTGTTCCAAAAGTACAAAAATCAAGGCCACTGCAGCAAAACAGCACAAGTACATGTGTACTGGTATGCACAGAAAATGATTATGAAAAAAACGCATATAGAGAACTAACTACACAGAAGCAGGGATAAACTGTTGATAACGTGCTGTAAATCTCTCATCTGCACAAATCTGAGCAACAAACTAAACTGGGTACTGCAATAAAATCAGCATTGATAATTTGGCAACAACTGTAGTTCTCATTATATCAGCTGGTCCTGCCCTTGCCCGATTACCTCTAATCTGCTAAGTTGATCCTAAACATTCCTCAGCTCTAGACTTCAATTTCCTTTTTTTCCCACACCAAAGGGATTAGGGTTAAACTAATATGCCAGCTACATAATAAAAAAACCAAAGGAATTTCTGAAGGTGCTCATCTAACAGGTCAAGCTATTAAGCGTCAACAAGTTATTGAAGGATATTTATGCAAAAATGTTTTATCTACAATATTAATTAGGCTCCTACATATCATATTCAATGTATTGTATCTATCTGAAATGATACTTGAGTTTCGAAATTTGAGTGACAAAGTCAGACATGTCAGACCTGCTCGTGCTGACCCTTGTTGACACTTGTTGTTGCTAAATAGCATGATCAATTTTAACTCCATTGGCTCCCACATTATTCCGAGAACTAAATGAGGTTTTGTAAATGGGTGAGAAAGCACATTATCTTTTATACTGACCAGGCGACTTATACTCTGGGTAGGGGGGTGGAGGCCCCTCGGTTGCTTGAGGTGGAGGATGTGCTGGGTCACTCATGGTAACACCTGCAAGGGAAAAGGCAATCAATGAAAACCAGCAACAATTCAAAGTCTCTTCATTTGGCACACTTCGTTTGTACTCTGAAGTTCCTCAAGAAGTACTGCTGGCTGCATCTATTGACAAGCTTCTCGCTCATTCTGTCAATTGTGTTCAGTGACATGAACAATGAAAGTTTGGTCAACAAAGTCAGCTCAAAACTCACAGAAAGTGATGTCCAGAGAAAGGGCACATAATCGAGAGGAGAGTTCTGTAATGCAGCACACTTTCAGCAAACTTAAAATCACCCAAAAACAATCAGGTTTTTTCCCTTTTTGAATTTAAAAGATAGTTTACCATTCATTATTATCTTCATAAAATACTCTCAACTTCATGGGTGTAAGAAAACTATTTTGCTTACTTTAGGGCAAGTTTTGAAAGCAGATCGTCGTGCTCAATCTTTCAAAATTTTCCCTATAACTTTTAAACTGGCGAGTAAGGATCAGACACGTACACTGTAAGTAGTGAACTGGGATATTGAAATTCACTCGTATTTCTCTCTGCTGTACAGTAAAGTTTTTAACTACATCACCACCAAAGCCCTAAGAGAAAAAAACTAAAATGCCCCACGCTGAAGGATGCGCCATGATATGAATCTTCAGTACTTACATAACAAGAGAAAGATAATTTGTAGATTTCAATTCTTTTCCTTTGAAAAGAGTCTAAAAGAATCCTCAAAATTTAGCCTAATCTCCAAGGAAAGCCAAAACATTACATTAAATTATTTCTCAAATGGTGGCACCCCTCCCCCCCAAAAAATGAATTCTGATCTACATGTAACCTTGGTCCTTGTAAATTTTGGTGTGCAATAAAGCTTTTGTCCAGAGAGATTTCTTGTCAACGTACATGTACATGTATGACATGACTTCATCCAGTAGTTAATCATGGGTCACTGTTTCCCTTCAAAAAATCGATGTTTTCAACACGTTACCCTGACTGACTAGTGACTACCACAAACAAGGATGTGGTTACATGTATACCATGAAAAAGTGGTTACAGGAAACAGCATTTTTCTGTTATGGGAAGATGGCTGCAAATATCCTTAGATCTGTGGTTTGAAAAACGTCCATGACTAATACATAATTAGTTGTTAGGCTGATTTAAAATGTAACTAATTGTCTCCGTCCAAGCAAATTTGCAGTTCTAAATGGAAACACTTGAGAAAAAACTTTACTCACTGGCCAACTGTCATTTACTTGGATGACAAATCACCAGACAAGAAGAAAATTTCAAACAAGGTATCTGAAAATTAGGGGAATTTTTAAAGCAGAAAGACCTGTTACACTAAAGTTTCTTCCTCAAATGATTCATTGTACATTTGCTCATAAAAATGTAAATGTGCACTAGCACAAAACGAAACAGGTACCAAAGTGCCCTTAAAAGTGGCATAACAAAAAATGAAAACAACATCAGAGGTCCACAAAGTTGCATTTTTCAAGGACCTCACTAAAAAACAAAATTACACTAAATGTTCCCTTTAACATGGTAGGAACATGGAAATGTAGCAACACTGTCTCTGCTGGGTGCAAACTGGATACAATGCACAATGGCACAATGTTTCGAATTTTCAGAGTACACAAATTTCACTGGCCAATTTATGTTTGAATGGACCTGTGGCAATCTGTGCGAAAAGCTTACAGTCACAAAACTGACAACCTTGTACAAATTTTGATGGGGAGCGGAGAGGTTCAAGATCCTGGTACCGTAAGTACACTATGGTTGAGTCTCCACATAAAATCTGTTTTCTTTCCCACAGAATAAACTTACAACAAAAACTATGCCCTCACAAACTACTTGTGAGAGAGACTTTTCTGTAATGCTAAATTTAAAGTAGTCCTCAAATTACAAGTAGATCAATATTAGTGTGGAGGCAGTGCTGGCGTCATGCATTAGGTGCATGTTTCTTCGCAACCAGAAATACATCTCTTTGACTGTGCCTGTTCAATTTCACTGTTCTGACCAAACGCAAACCAAACATTAAAGTTGGATCAACTATTACCACAACGGTAAAATGGCAGAGAATACTCAAAAGTGGAGGCAACAATTTTAATCATCTACAAATTCATTACTGCACAAAGCAAAATAAAGAGGAAAATTTTTTTCTGTATGACTGTGACAGGGCAGCAGCGGTGAGTATTATAAGAAACAAAGTTGGTCAAGAATGTTGACTAACAGGTGTTTTTATCCTGAATGACCACACTTCATTAAAATGTCATGTGGAAAACAACTACAAGTACAGTACATGTATTTTTAATTTCCAATTTCAAAATTTGTGAAATTTCAAAATTCAAGTGAAGCCAGCATTTAATTCATTAAAATAAGGCAGAATTAGAACAAAGATTTTATGAAAATGTTAATTTTAAATTTTTCAGTCAAAATCCGCACCCTTTTTGTGTACAAAATAATCACAGTTTGCTCTGCATTACACGTTACTTGCACAAATAAAATCCCAAAACATCACGAAATATCCCTGCGTCATATCACTACTTCTTTGCAGAGTCCGATGGAATCCAAACTTACATGTATATCAAAATTTTTCTTCCATCCTCTCCAAAGTCAATTCAAAAACGAATCAGAAAACAAGAAATTTGCAAAATTTATGAGCCTCCCTAATCTTGTTAATTCATGAGTTTTTAACAAAAATGTAAATGATATAATCAACAATCTACAACAAGGATGATAAAAGATACATGTATACCCAGGGCCCATGTTTTAAGCCTACATGTTTTACTTTACAAGTGGAGCACAATGACTGTGATGGTGACAATCATGACAACGACTGTAACAACATCATCACGCCGTAGAACATACAATGTACATGTACATACATGTACACATGCATACCCCCAGAACTGTGAGGTCCAACCCAGTATCAAAGAGGGAACGGGACGGATGTTGGACCTCAGAGTCTAGTTCTGAGGGTATCCAAGAGTCACCATAATTTGTGCACTTAGAACTTGGACCAAAATTTATTCTTAAATATACTAAATTTCTTACAGCTTCATTTTTCAGTAGTTGAATGTTTGACTAAAATCCTGCATGGAGTAATATCATGAAAAACATCCGATGTCACCAAAGCAGCAGGAACAATGTCATCTGCAAACAAGTCTGATTGGCTGTAGCAAAACCTACGTCACCATAATTTGCACACGCATGTTACAAACGTCATTTTACGGGGTATTGGTAATGCCCTACTTCTGAAAAGTCTGCCAGTTAATGTCACTTGAATAAGATATTATCTTTTGCAGTAACTACTTAGGTTTAGTGATGCACTTTGAGGAAAAAAATACTTTTATTGCCAATAGCTTGACTTCATCACTTTCTCTTTTTCGTTCTTCTAGATTTTAATGATTTTCAATGTAATTTAAGTTACAGTGAAGCAAGAATTTTTATTCTGTCCAATAAATCATAATTAGCATTAATATGAGTTATTTATCTGGATATTAAGCAATGACAAAATTTCTTTCTATGTGTATTTCTGAAAAGAAGCCACAAAATACAGTGCCACCGAATCCGCACCTGTCGTCGCCAATCGCAATCTCAAAATATAAGGTGTGTAGTACTTTTTCAGGTTCTGCATTTTTGATAACGTCCTCAATATTTGGCTATAGTTGATGGAAGTTACCATTAGTGCCCGTATTGGACGTCCAACATCGATAATGAACGAACAGCGATCATTTATCCAATTTCTAGAGTGACAATTCTAACCAGTTCATTTTTGTATTTAGTCTGTAAAAGTAAACATGGTAAAGCTTCATGCCTCTGTCGATATTTTCCCGAATTCTCCCTGGCCTGGGATAGGCATTCAGTTCACACATAGGGCCTAGGCCTAGCTGCGAAAGTGACGATCGATCATCGACCATGTCGATAATAAATTTACGTCAGTGCATTATTCCGCTGAAAAGTTTCATGACGAGAAAGTTGGACGCGCAAATATCGAATATTTGTATGCGCGAAATTAGGGTCCTCCACAATGCGTATGATACTTGATAGACCTACATCAATCCTACTTGCATGGTTTGGCTTCGCCTACATGTTCGTCAGAACAACCATCTAGGGATCATGTCAACTCGGACCCAAACCAACTCGGACCCACGATCAACTCAGACCCACGGCAACTCGGACCCAATACTAACTCGGACCCACGACCACCTCAGACCCACAACCAACTCGGACCCACGCCAACTCGGAACCACCTCGAGTCAACTCGGACCCACTGAGTCTTATGGTTGCACTACAACAAATACTTTTTGTGAAAGAAATACTCTGAATCTGAACCTATCAATTGCAAATTCGGGATTTATATAAATAATTCTATGATCCCTCGTGATTATGGCACGTCTTATTGTAAAAAATAAAAAAACGTGGGATCACAAAATATTGATAATGAGCTTGCGAGCAGACATACAACACTTCAAAACTGTCTCCAAGTTTAAGACAATAGGAAATATTCCACATTTTTATTTTCAAATGATTTGATTTGTGTTGTTCAAAATTACAAACCTATTTGCGTTATTTGGACAGTCAGTTTACGCCTGTATGGATGAATTCCTCCATCTGCCTAAATTCTGCTGGTATTCGGGGGGAGGGGAATGGAGCAAGGTGGAGGTGTAACACTTGCCACGCCCAAAAAAATTGAAAAGTGAGGTGGGAATAGCAGCATGAGACATTATAAAAGGTCAATGTTCGTGATATTGATGTATATCTGCAGTATGTGTTGTACGCATGCAGCATCTCTTATGTACATCAGAAGGGCCTATCTGTGGCTTTTATTGCAACAAAAACTTTGGGGGCTGTTTGGTAAAAGTTCATTCGATTTCTTATGGTGATCTGGAGTGCCAAAAAAACTTCGGAGAAAGGGCTTCAATGATTTGGTACTGTCAATCACTCTCCAAAAGCTGCTCCCATTGGTTGTCCCAAGATCCAACTCCCCGATCATAGGTTTCAAGAATGGAAGGTGACAAAATCAGTCTTTGTGGTCAATCGGAAGCTAATAACTGCTTAGGATTCCAGATTACAAGCGGCAAATTAGACACCAAAGGAAACGTGCCTCCATTAAAATACGACACTCGTCGGTTACTTATCACTTGTTCCAAGACATCACTGATATCGAATCTAGTCCTGTAGGGTTTTCAACCACCATGCCTGTTCAAACTCGAAAACGGAGAAATTCTGGGAAGCCTGTGCCACTGTTTCCCTGCATTACGTGTAGAGAGGACGTTACATCTTGGCAGCATGCAGTGCAAAAGAGTCATTTACCAAATGCTAAAATGTAAAAGTGGACAAAATAAAAATTTTCAAAAAGTTAATCACGCTCTCCTTGGGTTGGGTCCAAGTTGACTCAGGGTGGGTCCGCATTAGTCGTAGGTCCAAGTTAGTATTGGGTCCGAGTTGGTCGTGGGTCCGGGTTAGTATTGGGTCCGAGTTGGTCGTGGGTCCGAGTTGGCATGGGTCCGAGTTGGTTTGGGTCCGAGTTGACTCGAAACCATCATTCATGTGCATATCCTGGTATACTTCAGCGAAGTTCGAGCTACATGTAATTGCCTATTTTATGACTAATGACTACGAGTCAAAAGGTAATAAAAAGTAAATTACACAAGGCTGAGGAAGACCTGAAAATAACAGCACAACAGTTTCTTCTAATGGTGTACGCAGGATACCTGCAAAAGAATAAAACTTACGTCTAAAATTCCACAGAATTTTTTGGGTGGGTCTTCAACAAACAATTCGCTTTTCCTACCGTACCCTTCGGTATCGAACTCAGTTTATGCTTAGCACAACATTGATTTGATGTGGATTCTAGACTATGACGTCAGATTTTTTTTGACGTCTTCTTTGCGGGTGACACACAAATAACGGAGGACCGAAATGGACATGCCATCGAACGTTTAAACTTTCACTTTTACTCTCATCACGGGCGTGTGGGGGAGGGGCAGTGGGCCAGGGACTCCAGAGTAGTTGCAGNTTTTTATCAAAACCTTAGGCACAGCAATTTAGAAACAGTAGTACCACCTTTCTTTTTGAGTGGGGAGAATTCTCTTTCATATGAAAAATGTAGAAAGTCGTTTCAGAAACCCCTCAGAATAAAGCGTTTATCAAGCACCCAACTCTACTGAGGATTAGGCAAAGGACTCGACAATAGAGGATTTTCAGTCACGTGATGTTTGACGGCATTGATCTCCATTATATAGACTGGATAGGACATCGCGCATTGTTTGTGTACAAAATGCGCGGCCAAACAATGACGGCGCATCAAGAGGGTAATATGATGCTGTATGCCGTGCATTTCTAGTCAACATAAAATTTTTCTCATGGGATGATGGCCAAGCCTCCGCCTCCCTCCAAAAAACAAGCCAAAAAATAAACAGAAAGTGCAAGAATATCATTCCAGGAAATAACTGACCACTCTCTTATTAACTAACCAACTCGAAAGCGATAATGTAACTTGTTTTTGTGTGTGTTTGTTTTCAATTCATTTTTTTACATCTATTGTGTACGGTTTCACTGCAATATTTTCACTTTGAGTCAGTTCAATCGTGATTTGTTCAGTGTGTAAAACTTTGAGAATTCCACCAAGACATGCAATAGGTTTTGTCAGTAAATATAATGTCCAAACTGTCTATGTGTTTTTCCGTCTGGTTTCGATGAGCCAACACTGAAAAAACATCAATAAAATGATTTTAATTTTACACCCCCAGGAAAAATTGTACCGCATTCATTCACATTGAGAAGATTTTATTGAAAACCGACATGCGGAAGTGTTTCTGTGAGCACAAAGTGAGCGCAGCTTTAAATGAGCGACTAAACTAACTTACTGCCGTTTTTACAACAGGCACTTATTAATCAGCTTAAAAAGTTGAGTTCACAACCTGACTTAAAGATTTACATTTAACAACTACTTTCCGGCATGAAAAAAGTCAGTTCAACTGAGAACAAATAATTTTGTTACGTAGACTAAGTTTTTTTCATTGCGTTGACTTTGAATTCCCTTGTTTGTAACTTTATTCAACTTTATTCAACAGAAACGTCAGAACTCTGCTTCTCACTTTAGTTTCATTTCTGCCCCGAAGAGGAATTCTGTCACTCATATTACATTGTTTGTCACACGATTTGGGTTCAGTGTCTCTTTAGATCCGACAAACACAAATCATTGCTGTCTTGGAGATTTTTTCCAGTGAAATCTTGGGAAAATATACGACAAATTAGTCATTCAGTTTTTGAAACCACTTTTGCCAATAAATAACATTTAAGACAGTCCCACCTTCAAGATAGTGAATTTAATATAGAAAGCTTGACAGGCTAAATAGACTGTCATAAATTTCTTACTAGGCCTATATAGGCTTAAAGTTAAGAATTATAAAGTACAACTTAAGAAACATTCTGAAACTAAATAAAGTTCAACTCACATTTCCTACTGCTCCTTCTTCCAAACTTGACGTTGATCTCCAGTAATTCACTGCTGCGTAAACCTCAACCATTATTCTTTCCAAATTATCCACTCCAAGTGCAGAATTCAGTTTTTCTTCGAAATCTGACGATTGAAGCACAAGAACCTCAGTTTTTGAGAAACTCCATTTGAAACTTACACGCAGCGAAATTTAACCACTGAAACCCGTGCGCAAACCATGTGTCTTCCTTCCACCAGGCTGAAACTGAACTTTAAAGCCTATTTGTCAAAGCCATTAACATCTAATGATTCTGACTGAGTGAATTCTACAAGGTCACCCATTATTTTGTTCAAGAAAGTATTTCTTTGCCTTCTTCATTTCGTGGCCTCGGATAACTTCCTTATTAAATGCGGCCACTCCCACTAACACCAAGCCCGGTTAGTTACTCGTTCGACCACGAAGGGACCGAGAACCAGTCCAACTATAGAATAAAAGAGGTCAATAAACTTTTCCTTCCCGTCATGCATCATATATATACACCGAGTTGAATCGCGGCAGATTTAATTTACTTTCTTGCAAAAAAGCTGTCAAAAATGGGTAAAAGTGAAGATTTAGGCGTTTCTGAGGAAGCCAAAGAGCGACAAAGCTTTGTGATGAACACTGAAGCAAACCGTCTTGCATCTTTTAAGGACTGGCCGTTTGACGAAAACTGCAATTGTATGCCGAGCAAGGTTGTTTTGATTTGAGTTCTTGTTAAGTTGTTCTGCCTACGTACTGGCCTGGCCTAGTACTAGTACTTAGTACTAGTACTACTGGGGTTTGGGTTGCCGGGCTGGGTCGTCATCATGTCCGCTACGAGCTGCGGTCCCCCACGATCCCTGGAACTAGTGCTCCGTCGTCTACTTCACTGACGAAGCGAACGATGGATTTCATAGGCATGATAGGACTCGACTTGGGCTACCCTTCACCATGCATCACGACCAAAATGGGGATTGTTTGTAAATTTGGGGACCCTAGCTGTTCCTATAAATAATAAAGGAGATTTACATTTTTGGTTTTCGATTCACCTTGGTAGATGACTCTGAGTATGACGTCATGCTCAATAACCGTAGGGTTGATTTGGTGAAAAGAGGGCAGGGTTTTGAGGGAAATTATGAGGGAAAATTGTCAGGGTTTTAACACATGACACGTGGTGCTTAGTGGATTCAAATTTGCATGGCTGGCCTATCAGTAAGAAAGCCATATTTTCTCACAATTGACAATTTGACATGTTTGAAATTTCCAAAAATTGTCAACGAAATAAAGAAAGTATTGCCATTGTTCTTTTTTTGAGGGGCGGGAACTTAGCAGTTTTGCAAGATTAAAATGACAAAAAACTGGGAGGTTCCCAAAGACCCCAAGTATACAATCCCCACCAAAATGACCATGCCTACCCTTTCGATTGCCACTTTGCCATGTTTCCCTCTTTTCCTTCCTCCATGGTTGGCCTTGCAAATAAATTTTCCCTTTTCCATGTTTTACTAAGGAAGTCACTGGCGCGGCATGAATGGAAGTGGCTTTAGTTACATGTAAAGTCTGACCTGACTAAGGCCTTACATGTAGGTTCTGCATGCAGCCATTTTTCTGGTAAGAGCTTTTGTTCCTCAGGGATAAGGAGAATCTTGGAGTTTGTGCTATCCCTCCGTAACAAAAGCATTACCGAAAAGATGGCTGCCATACAGAACTTCTATAGTTACAGCATTGCACAATCTTTGTTAGGTTTTAATTTCCATAAATCATGACTCAATCACGACACCCCTTGCTCTGCAATCCTGGCACGCTGGTATCAAGTCCACACAGTTGTGAATATTTGTCCGTTTCTTTCTGTTCTTTTCCTTCCTTTCAAACCTTTGCTAAAGGCTTTAGTTTCTTTATTTTCTTAATCAGAGTGTATGTTTACTTTCCACACGTTTTTCTTTTTTTTTTCTGGTAGCTTCATACATGTACCCTTTTAGGATTTTTTCAAAGGGAAAGAAAGTCCGAGATCCATTGAACGTTTTAGAGTGGTCTGGTTCCTGCTTCCAATGCAGTGATCTAGTGCAAAAAATGGACAAGCAACCTGTCTAAATTTCTGTAGCGTAACCACTGCGTTTTTCTAATTCTGACGATCAAAAAGAAAAAGACAGTGAACATAGGACTGAGAACTGGTCCCTTATGCTGCACTTTCTCTATTTGAGCTGCACAACAACCATGGCAATGCACAATGGATATTCTAGCGGGACTGAGAAATAAGACTGACACCTTTGACAGGTGTCGTGCTTACGTTGTCACTGCGACTTTGTTTTCACAAGATGGAATTTAGGCCTCTTGCAATTTCAGACTTAATTTCCCTTTGAAAAATTCACCATAGCCACAAAATCACTTGAAGAAAGTAACACATCCTGCACTTTCTAGATTCAGTTTAAAACAAAAAGACTTGGTTTTACTCTTTCTGTTTATCAGTGTTGATATGAGGGAAATGCAGTGATTTGAATTTCTTGAAGAGCAAACCTCAATTTGTGCATAAAAGTTTAAAAACTCAACAATACATTTAGAACAGATTGTAGAATAGATTGACCATCTTGCATTGTACACACAAAGATACATGTACGTGTAATTTTGAGACAGTTGAAGAAACATTTTTGGCACAACTTGACGTATTGGTAGCAATCGTATTTGAAGATAGGTTTCTGCTTTACTGCTAGTGTACTTCTCCATGGCTAAATGGTCTGGTGTTCTTGTTTTCAGATGGCGGCTGCAGGCTTCTATCACTGTCCAACAGCTCAGGAACCTGACCTCGTGCGCTGCTTCATGTGCTTTAAGGAACTTGACGGATGGGAACCAACCGATGATCCCATGTTGGTAGATTTTCTGTCAATGCTGACACACGTTCATGATGATCTGGACATGTGTATTCAGATGGGAACTTGTCATAGGCATGGTCTAGTGGCATTGTCTATAATGAGGGTTCACATCCCGCTGGGGTTCTATAATATTATAGTGCATGTGCTTTTGCACTGTGCTTTGGTTTGAATGGGAGAGGTGCTGCTCAGCTAATTTCAGCGCACAGCCAAGCATGCATTTTCTCAGTGAAGTTTGATTACCAGCCAATGCCATGCCTTGTATTCTGTAATTCCCAGCTGCTTTTCACTAAGCCAACACATTCGCAAAGTGGTATGTCATCCACCACATCGAAATCAGGAATAAGTTTAAAATTGACTTTTGAGGTATGTACTAGGTCAGAAAGAGAATTTCATAATCTTTCAAATGACTTGTCAAGTTGTCATGTTCATCCGACCACACTTGAGAACCAAAGAAGCAACACACTTGTAATACATGTATGTACCATTTGAAAGCTTATGAAATTCTCTTTCTGACCATGTACTTACCTCAAAAAGTCAATTTGAAACTTATTCCTGATTTCGATGTGCTGGGTCACGTGGACTGTGGCCATCCAAAGTGTTGACTCAATTTTAGTTCCATGGCCATCCGCCTTTAAAGCAGGATCGATTGCGGGTGTTTTTACATGGAAATGACATCCCTTTGGTGGGGATGCACTGTGAGAACATACTGGGTTTATACGTGTTTGATGTGAGACACAGAGCACACGCGACCAATTCTGTTTGATGATATGGCTTTTATGTGTGTACCGGGCACGTGCATGAACCTGGTTGAAGAACATCCCACCATTACCCATCTCTTCTTTGCCAGTGAAAGTGCTCTTAAACTAAGGCCAGATGATACCCTTCAGTTAGGTAATTCATCAGTTTCATCAGAGAAAGCCCTGTGTCATTGTGCCTGATCTCCCGCGCCCGTGTCCAAAAGCTACACTCAACGTTCTGTCCACATTACTTTGCCACCCCTCTTGAGCACAGAAATCTTGCATTCTTTTCTCAAGGGCAGTCAGCCCTTATAGTTTGTCTTTCATGGTGGTCTATATTTCACAGGCTGGAGCACAAATCTCACGCTCCTAAGTGTGCCTTTGTCAACAAAAAGAAGGACGAGAAAGATATGACCGTGGCTGAGTTTTTCAAGCTAGAAGCAATCCGACAGCAGAACAGACTTGTAAGTGAACAGAACCATCCAACCCCTGCCTACAGAGGTTATGCGTTAACACATCCTAAGAGGGCAAAACGTTTTAAATCAATGGGATAAGCTGGAGTACACCTTTTGTGCATTTGTAGTAACTACATTAAAATGACAAAAACAGCCTCTGAGGCCCCGTGGATACACCAGCAATGCGTAACTGACCTGTCTTTTTGCCAGTAACCTTCCAGAAGCCTACACAATCATATATATGCAGGATACTCAAAGTACATTCTTAAAGATCCAGTTTTTCAAATGGCAATGGGCATCAATCCCTGGGGTAACGTAATTTTGATGTCCTCCATCCTATATAATGCCCTGAAAGTGTGTGGATGCTGTATCATATGGCAATAGTATGGCTGCATGGCTGAAACCAATGTCAGCTTGGAAGGAAGTTTTCCAGCCATACAGTGACATAAGAAATAAAGATACTGTATAGGGTGGAGCTAATGCAAGTCGCCCGTTCCTCTTGGATTGTCTCTACAGCACTATCCGTTAAGATAAACCCTCCATCGTTCATGGCAATGCCAAATTGTTTCTTCACTTCATTCCACAGATGAACCATGTTGAGAATCGCATCAAAGAGTTCACATACGAGGCAGAGAAAACGAGAAAGCAGATAGAGGAGCTTAAGAACCAGTAATCGGTAACTTCTGAATCCAACTTGGAACCGGCGGGCCCAAGTGAGGCTGCGCACGGTCCAAGATGTTACTTTCTACTGAGTTGAATGTACACATGAATAATGCTTAGCTTGAAGTTTTTTGGTAGGTGCGTAAAACATTTGGAGTGTGTACATAATATTTATACTTGTAGAAAATCTATTTCGAAAAGTGTGGGAATCTGTAAGCGATTAAAATCTGCAAAGAAGACTCATGAAAATTTTCACAGTAGTTAATGTAATCAGTTAATCAGTCAAACTGCTCAAAATTGTAGACTACATACAGGGTGCAGGAACTTCATTCTTGAAAGGGCAAAGCAGTTTCCCTTTCACGAAGGGCACTTGTAGTAGAAACTTAACTGAGGCAAAGACCGGGGCATCAAGGCCATTGCCTCCGATAAGTTCCTGCCCTGTACATGTACACACTTGCACCACGAATTGAAAAGTGTAAATATCTCGCCTTCAGTATTTCTGTTATACCTTCAGTATGCTCTCCCCTGGTTTCATATAACACTGTTAAGACTAGTGACATCACCCAAGGCAGTGGATTGTTCTCTGGAATATAGCCAATCACTCTATATACACATACGTACCGATCAGCCTAGCTTTTATTTTTGGAAGGCTTCACACAGTGCTGCTGGAAGATTGTGTGTGTGTTTGTGTTGATAACATCAATTGTACAAAGATGTCTGCATAAGGGGTCACTCATTTTTTCATCATTTTCATAAGCATACTAAACGACTTTTCTTTGACCCCTTGCTGAATGAGTATGCAAGAAAATGACGGTCAACAATCACTTTTCACGTTCTAAGAATATTCACTGCACTGTTACTCCCCAATACATTCTGTGAGCTCATGACAATTCTGAGAAAATGAATTACCCCTTTAGTTGATGTATGTGGCAGAAAAAAATATGTCCACAATGATCTCTGTGTTGCTGTCATATTGTGTACAATTTGATTTTTAATTAAAAAGGCACTCCCCTTAGAAATAGACGGATAAATAACAGCGATTAAAGCTTTTTCTCCACACCTCTTTGTGATTCTGGAAGAAAAATGCACAGTTTGTTATCCTCCAACAAAAAAAACGACATCAATTGTCAAATTTAAAAACTTTACATATGTATACGTGTGACATTTCTATTAAAATAAATACACACCAGTTTCAACCCTTCCCAACTGGTACCTGCTTATCACAAAATATTTCTTTGGATGACAATTACTTGGCTGGAGTTTTGACACTTTGAACTTCTTGCCTAGATTCTGTCATCATTTCACCCAAAACACTAATGAAGGAAAAACCTGTTACTTATGTACACAATTTTACAAAAACTTTGAAGAAATGCATTTTTTTTTACATAAATTGAGTATAATCAAAACTGTTAGAAGTGTCCTAATAAGGTCAGAAGGAAAAAAAGTTCAAATATGTACAGTATGCATGTTAACTATGAGACACTTTCAAAGTATCTTTTTTAGCAGTAACTCGCATAAGGTTTTTAAGTTCACTTGGGGACAGAGGGTAAACCTGATTTGGACACTAGCTTGTGTTTGTCACCCCTTAATACTCAATAAAACCTGGATAGTAAGACTTAACATAATTTCTGATGTCTGCATCTTGGCCTAATGACAAACTTGTGTTGCTTTCTTAGACCAAATACTATGCCAGTTTTCTTAAATATAGTAGGGGCCTAGGTACCCTGCAAAGCAGGTAGCCTCTTGTGGTTCCACAGTAATAGACTGATTGCGCCTGCTAAATCATGTGACCTACAGTGGGTATCAACCCCACAGCAACTTGTATTTTGAGTGTTGTTTACAAACAATACATCCAAGTTATGATATAGTACCCAGCACATCAGTAGTCTGAGTACTGTACCTACCATCGGCTTTTTTTTTTTTGGTAAATGATACTTTCGAAACACTTTGCTTCTGGTAGACGCTGTGTTTGCTGATATTCAATACCCACAATAGGTCACATGACTTAGCGGGTGCAATCAGTCTATTAAGCGGTGTTTTACTGGGAATAGTGTAGGCCACACTGGAAAGATCTCTCTTATAAAGGGTCTATATACTTAATCAAATGGCATATGAGAGTTTAACTGGGCCTTCTATTGTTTCCACACATCAAATAACAACAGTGTTGTAGTTGAGACCTTTTCAGACCATCAGAAGACCCCATGAGATTGTCACAAGACGTCTGAACTCAAGTTATAAGCTATACAGATGAACTGCAAAATAAGCATTCCTTTGCCACTGTTGACCCTGTTACTTGTGACTGGTCTCATCAACGGTCTTGTGATGGTCTTGACCACAAAAACTGATGAACAGTTTCAGGACCTTAAGCTGAGGCAATGCTGGAAAAGCTGCTGTTAGTTTTATCTGCAGTGGTAGCAGAGAAGAAAGAAATCAGCTCCTCCCTGACCGAGCTTCCTCTATCTTGCGGCGCACCCCGGAGCAGGACAGCGTCAGCTCGGCGTGCTGTCGTTTGAGCCTCTCCAGCTTGGCTCTCAGCTCATCCCCTTCGTCTTTCCGCTCCTCAAAGTCCCTCAGGAGTGGGGTGTTGCCCAGTAGGCCCGACTTCTGTCGCAGCCTCTGGTTGTCAATGCGCAGGCTGTCGCGGGCCTTCTTGGTCCTTGACAGGATGTCTCGTTTCTGTCAGAGGCAAGTTGTCAAACAGGACTGGATAGAGCTTTTTTGGACACACCCTTTTGACGGGGATCAGTCATGAAACAGATTGAACATTGCCGAGGACCAAAGAACAGCATTATTTGTCTCTCTTAAAACAAAAACAACTTCACTTCAGTCAAAGCTTATCACTGGAAAAGTCCATGTCCTCCACACCTCAAGTGTGCATCTGTATGCTTACCTACCAAGATGTCTGGTGCACAAATACATCTAGAGCACATTATTCAAATTTCACTCAAGCTAATTTCAATACCATCTGCAAATTCACACACAAAGTTAAAATGTCTGCATTCAGGACCCGTGTTGTATCCGAAACCTTGATGTCCGAGACCAAGGCATACGAGACCAAGACCGAGACCTACTCCTTCAAGACCAGGACTTCGAGACTGCGACTGTCGCAGGTTGAGACCGATACAGGACATCCGACACCGAGACCAACCATTAACCAATGTTTAGATTTTACCAAAAGGTTAATAGGGACAAACATATGGCAGTACAATTAAGTACAAAAGAACTAAAATGAAAACATTAGCATAAACTCACATACACAAATAGGTCAAATATTTGTTAAAGAATGTCTCAGTTCCTTTATCAGTGACACTGCTCTACTTTTACCCTGGTCTGGTCATTTTCAACCCGAGTGTCCCAAATGATATGATGCGAACATTAAAACAAATATCCTTGAGACTGTTTTTTGTAAGCAAAATACTGAAAACAAATATCAAAAAAAGATGCAGGCCTACTGTAACGAAACTACTAAAACAACACGTACCACATACTAGATGGAATGAAAGCACTTTCACACGTGCACACAATTCATAGCGTGCGCGCACACAGACTGGTTCCCGTTCCGGCCCTACGTTCAGAAGGAGACTATGTAGGGGACGGGAACCACTCTAGTGTGCAAATTCCGCTACTCACAACCTAATCTCCATGGTGCCAAGCAGCATGGCTACTCTGGATTGGAAATAAAGTAACAACTTTGGACAAGGTTGCATCATGCTGCATTGACTAGTCTTCATCGATCTCATTGTTTATTGCAAAAAAACTGAACATTACTGTGTCGTATTTATATCAGTGGCTAAAAATTTGACTCGAGCGGAGGTAATTTTGCCTTTTGCAACATGTGCATGCGTGGTAACCAGATGCCCATTTTGTTATGGTCTCGAGGGGGAGACCCGAGAATATGGCATCTGGGACTGAGACCGGCGCTTTCGAGACCGGCCCTCCAAAGACCGAGACTTTGACAGGGCGAGAACGAGACTGCAAAAAAAGGTCTCAAGACCGAGACCAGGTCTCGAGACATACAACACTATTCAGGACAACTTCAAAGTTTCCTCAGGGAAATGACGTGTTAGTGCTCTAGCAATTGCAATACAACTCCATTAAAATACTGAACGGACAGCACCTTTAATATATAATTGAATAAAATGCTCACACATGCTCAACCTTCGTCAACTATAGTTCCACCTTCTATGAGTACAAATGTAATTAGAACCACCCTCAAGCATGTGGATGAGTAGAGGTGTAACCTGCCATTGCATAGAGAGGCTGATGCATGTACAAACGTCCATCCGTGTAACTACAACTCATTCGGTGTGGAGTGGTTGACATACATGTACCATCCCTTCAGTATTTTTATGTTTCTGACACTGCTACAGAGGGTTTGTATGGCAGCCATCTTGTGGGCCAGTGCTTCAATTCCATGGGACATGGCATGGAGGTTTCCCTGTGGAGCAAAAACAACTGCTCTGCTAGATGGCTACCATGCAGAGCCTCTACATGCATCTTTATATGGTTATTAGGCTCTGCTGGCTTGAAGCCAAATTTAACTACTAATCTGGAGCCAAGCTCAGCCTGACTGCTCCATCCACTGAGCTCAAAGTACTCCAACCCACCTGGGCTACCAGGGACTCCACCTCCTTCAGCTTGCCCTTCTGGACCTGGTTCTCCGCCTGAACAAACTGCAGCTTCTCCTTGACGTGGGTGAGCTCCTGCACGGTGCTGGTGATCTTCTTTCGCAGCTTCAGCAATTCCTGATGAGTCACCAAAATACAAACTGTCAAATGTAAACAGGCTCCTTTACACAACACTGAGAAGCCTTATTCCATCACACCTTGAGCTCTAGGGGGCTGTCTTTCTGTTATTGACAAATTAAGGTTCCACACCTCATGACCCTTTGGCTACAAAAGATGAAAAACTAATGATCTTTCTAAAAGCATTTCAGAGCCACTAACTCTCCTACTCACTAGCATGCATTCTTCCACTGAAGATTGACAAATGGCACACATTGTACAATTCACCTGACACGACAAACTGGCCTCCAGCTAATACTTTACTATTGCTAATCCCTGATTTGTTTATTACAAACACAAAGTTTGAGAAGTCTGTGGAGGGAGTATGTTTGTTGACCTCGAATTTGACCCTTGCTAATGACCTGTTGTAGTGGAAATTGCAGTGAAACTGTGACAAGAAATATCCCATATTATTTCACAACTTTCCCGAGTCTGTATTTGCAACATTTTGATACATATCAAATGACATAATGACAGTCCCAAAAGTGGTCAGCAAACAAGATAAGGACTTGCCTCGTTCCTCTCCTCAATCTTCTCGTTGTAAGTCTGGTTCTCAATCTTGAGCTGCTCAAAGTCGATGAGATGCAGCCCTTCGGCCAGCTCCTCCTTGGCCTTGAGCTGTTGCTCCCTCTTGCGCAGCCGGTTCCTCAGCTTGATGTTCTCCAGCCGCACCTGCTTGACCTCTTCCTCCTTTTTGGCCTCGTTGAGGAGATAGGCCTCAATGTCCTGGGGGGTACGAATGGTGAAACAAGCCAGTGAGATTGGGCCTGCTACATGCTACCTGAAGCTTTTGCAAATACACTGCACTAACCCAGTCAGTACAGAATGTTTGATCAGTATGTAACCCCTATTGCCTCACCTCTTCAACCACAAGATACTTATAACGAGCCTGAAATTGTACACCTTAGTGGAGGTTAATGCTGATTGCTATCAGTAATGACAACTGGAAGACTTTTGCTGTGGAACGTATAGCCATAGATTGGGGAACATCTTGTGATGAGTTAAAAAGTTCCTGTTCCCACTGAAACGTTCTTGAGGGGAACAGTGTGAACATGTTCCCAAGTCAGCATGTGCACACAGACCAGTGTCTTCCAATAAAAAAACATGCGTTGTTCTAAATAGGGACTGTGAGTGATCCCGACTGCAACAAGCGATTTTCTCATTGGAACCTCGTTTGGCATTCCAGCTTATTAGATTTAGGTTTGTATAAATTCTTTGTTTTCACTAATACACAGTTTGGACCAAAAATGGCTGAAACTTTTCTGCGTGGCCTCCATTACAGACCCTTCATTTTTGTCCTTTGCAAGCAAGCATACCCCTTGACAAAATGGTTTCCCAAATCCCAACCCTGGCCAGGTTTCCCCCACCGTGATGATCATGAGGGACAGGATGAAAAGAGTCCTTTGCCGGATTTATGGATTGCACTAACTGCTTTGGAAGGCAACACTATAATGCCCCACAGCCAAGAGGGTTCAATCTGACGCACCTTTGGGGCGATGGCTTTGCCCGTGCGGCTGTTGATGGCATTCTCAGCTGACTGTCGCTTGAGCTGGCTGAACAAGTCAGTCTCTTGCTCCACTGTGTCCAGCTTCTCCTGCCGACGCCCCTTCAGTTCCTCCAACTGTTCGCTCAGGTCATCCCGCTCCTCTTCCTCTTGCCTCCTCAGCTCCTCCAGATTGGCTGCCAGATGCACGCAAGACAAAAACAATACGATGAGTGCTCTGTGTCACGAGAGCATATTGACTGGACGTCAATGGAACAGCCTGTGACAGTGCTGTGGTCGAGTCCATCCCAAGTCCCTGCATGTCCATCACAAGTCAAAACTTATATAAATGAACTGTGATAACAGCATTACTTTGTCATTGTTCATGTGCACCCTGTTACTTTTGATTGTTCTTGTGAAAGGACTTGGGACTGGAGTCATAAACGGGCTTGATCCGACTGCCACACTGGTCTGTGACACTACTGATAGCTCAAGTTAAATATTTCTTCACGTGCAAAATGTCTCTATTCAAACTCTGGTCAAATTTTGGAAAGCTGTGCTGCAGTACTGCAATTGAGACCTTTCTCTTGCACGCTGAATACAACGAAATGTAAGGCTACAAAACTAGAAATCAAGGGTGAGTACCATGGTTTTTTGACTGACATTTAAAAGGACAAAGTACCACCGGTCCACATGAAATGTGCAGATATCTGCAGACTTAGCCTAAAGTAGGACAGATATTATTTCTGTTCTAATATCCTACATTACAGTATACTTCTTGGACTTAAAAACCGAAAAAATTACAACACTGATGTCCTCACCAAACTTCACAGACCTTGCTCAATGCTAAACACTGGAATATACTGTGTTATATGGAAGACTATCACAGGCCCACTCTCTCAACCTGATGACAAGACCATCCTCTACTTCAGTGTTTTATAAGCCCAGTCACAAGAAACAAGCCATGTGCCTGCAGCTTAGAATCACACACAGGTCTATGGCAGAGGGCTGCAGCCACTTCACATAGGGACGTGTGTAGTTTCAAGCCGTAGCCAAGTAATTCGGACATGGCTACAGGGGAACAATGACAAAGGAATGTTTTTCCCCATTTGAATAGCTTCTGACTTGAATTCAGACTAGAGATTTGTGCTGGTCGTGTCATGGTCTTGGTGGGTCCTGTGATGGTCTTAAGAGGTTTCAACAAAAACACTTGCACTACATGGAGCCAACCTGTGCTGGCCTGCCCTGAAGTTGACTGGCCGACCATTCTCAACCAGTTTGCAGCCATACAGTGAAACCAGGCTAAAACCTTGAGTGAAACCATTTCCGGTTCGTAACCAACACTCACACATGTATTTGAGGTAACGCTGTTCCTGGTCGGTCACGTTCTTGTCCATCTCCTGGCGCTGGTCGTCCGTCTTTTTCTTCCGGAAGTATTCAGCTAATTTGTGCTGCAGTTGGATGTTCTGATTTTGCAGCTGTTCGCGCTCAGACTGGGCTGCCTGGGGTGGGGAAAACAGAAAATAATGCCAAAATGATAACCAATGCGTAATACGTTACCACAACAATATGCAAGTACTCTAATTCAAACCTTCATGACAGAAAATCCTACTGGGGAGAAAAACTGCAACAGAAAAATATTGACTTCTAGATTCCAAACGACTACCGTGGCAAAACATGCTTACTGCATCTCTACAACTTCTAGCAAACGGCAGTTTTTGCTCTACAATACATTTTCTACAAAGAAACAATTCTTCAAGAATGCTTGGCACACATCCTATCCTCCATTAGCTAGTGCCTGATCTCCATTAAAGCTGCGGAATAAAGGTGTTAAAAGGTCTTTGCAATACACATTTTTCATAAAACCTTTAAAATGCACTTCTGTGTCTCAATTAACCACATTTTCAATTTTTGTTTGACAACATTAAAGGGTAGTTTACTGTCTATTTGGCTTTTATGTATAACGCAATTTCCCTATTCATGAGCAAAACTGTAATGTACATGTCATCTTGGGAAGAAAACTTAAATGTTTACCTTGGTCTGAGCACTTAAAAGCTGATTTGTTAAAAATCCGCTTAAATTTCTCTTTCTTCAGTGATTCATTGTCTTGTAAGTACATAAAAATAAGCATCCAAGCAATCCTTTTACAGTAACGTTTTCAATGAGTACTGTACATGTGTACATTTTGGGTTCACAATTTGAATGGAAAAACCTACACATTGAACCATGTCTTCCCTCGATTATACCAACAGTGCCCTCAAATACATTTAACCTCAAAGGGATGGCAATTTATTTTTCCTGCCTCAAAGAACAGTACAGAGTTGCCGAGAAAATGTAAGAAAAATTCATTGCTGCTACCCTTTAAACGATATAAAGGGGGTGGTACCTGATAAGCCTCGATTAGCTCCTCTCTACTGATCCAAGGTTCCTCGTCGTCAAATTCTTCCTCTTCTTGTGGGGATTCTAGAAATTTCAAACAAATGCCATGGTTTCCAACCAACATATTGTTTTACTGACATAACAATCAAGGCCGTCTTGTCTCACCTTCTGACGGAAATTAAATGAATGAACTGAGAGCCCAGAGACTTGAGTATAATGCATCTGTTCCAGATCCCAAAGCCACCTGCAGTCCTCACTCTTCCCACACATGATAGTCATATAAACTATGTTTTGCCTACCAGAGGCTGGTAAACTATGGCTGACCAGTCGACACAAGAGCAAAAGAATAATCCAGGTGTATTAACCAACAACTTGTAATGCAGCTATCACAATGCCACATGATAGAAACTACTACATACTGACTGAAAGTACAGCTTTCTTTAAAAAGTTATGAGGCAAACGAGGCTTGAGCTGGACCAAGATACGGCGCAATTTCCCTGGCAATGCAGACTCCTTTGATTGGAATTGCACTTTGCACATGTAGGCCTGTGTGTACCTGCGATTCGCAAACGTTCATTATAAATGGGTCGTCAACAGGGTTTTTAAGGCAACGGAGTCATGAAAACCGTTCGTTGTAACAAGAATTTCGTACCATGCGATTTTGCCGTAACAGATTTTTTCCCTATAGAGATGTGCATGTTTTTGCCGGGACCACAGACTTGGATTTGTTATAATTGGAATTTCGTTATAACCGATTTCGTAATAACGAAAGTCAACTGTACACACTCTAACAATGGCCCTAATACCTTGGGATGACCAAGTCACAACTCTGATCTTGTCAAAAATCCTCACCTATCCTTTCTGGTGTGCCTGCCTCCAGCGGCTCTGGCTCTGGTTGAGGACTCCCCTCTCTGGACAATGGTTCCATCACAGCCACCACAGGGGTCTCCGGCCTCTCGCCTTCAGCAAACGTGTCACTCTGCGGGAGAGGGGAGGCCGGCTGGGTGTCTTGCTCCCCTTCGGCCGGAGGGGCTTGGGCCTCGTCCGCCCCCTCTGCTCCTGCTTCTTGCTGCTCGCCTGCCTTGTCAGCAACTTCAGCCGCCGCCTCACCTTCCTCTTCAACTTTCTCCTGGCCATCAGTTTCTTCTGCTGCAACTGTCTCCCCTGCAAGGAAAGTCAATCCTAAAATTAACTTCACTTTCTGATGGAAAGTACAAGTGGTCAGCAAAGATAAGCTAAGAACAAGCTGCAAATACACAAAACGAGACATTTTAGCAGTACCAGTAAAATGTCGAGAGACCAATGCTTTCCGTGCTTAAGTTTAAAGAAATTAGGTGTGTATATTTATTGCATGATTTGATTGCATGATTTATTGCAAATTATTTATTTATTGATTTGCCAAGGGGTAAACTTGGGCTATAGTATATGGATGGGCAAACAAAATTTATCCAATGGTACAACTGGACCTGTGCCTGAGAAAGTGCTACCCGGCTCTTCCAATGCAGTCCTCTCACAGTGATCGTGCCAATCAATGTTAGAAATTAGAATCGTTCAGCAGGAATTTAGAGATTTTGTTGCATCTTGGATTCTTCAGGTGAAAAATCCAAGAGCCTTCAGGTGAGTCCTCTACACTTTCTTTGCTATGACTGCACTTAAGGATACAAATGGTTGCATTTAGTCAGAGATATGAAATAAACGCCAATTGACAATTATGCACCAGAGCTACCAGAGCTTAACCTTGATCGGTCCTTCTTGTTTAAAAATGAACTGCATTCACCTTTAGAAGAAAACACACATGACCAATGCCAACCGTACTGGGTAGGTACATACAAGCACTGCACCAGTGTTACGTTAATTCAGTATCACCATTATCAAATTAAACATATTGCTGATTGCATCGAGTTACATCATCATTGATCAATCTGCCATATTCCCGTCTTGAGGTACACTCACCTTCAGTGGCTTCAGCAGGACCGGTTGTGTCTTCACTGGGCTCCTGTTCAGCTTCAGCTCCTTCCTCTTGTCCCCCTTCTGGCTCCGCGCCCTCCGTCATCTCTCCTTCTGCCTCCTCGGTCGTTACTTCCCCCTCCCTCTCCTCTTCCCCTGGCTTCCCTGCCTCAGTCTGGGGCGTCGCCTCGTCACCCTCTACCGGGGCACTGGTCTCCTCCCCCTGAGTGGCCTCCTCCCCTTCCGGGCTTGCGTCTGTCGCTTCTTGGCTGTCTGGAGGGGCCTCTGCAGGAGGGGCATCTTCTGTCACTGGTGCTGCAACCTCTGCAGTAGAAAAGGAGTCAGGGACTTAAGGCCAAAGAAAGAAATTTCCAGTTTCTTGTCCCCGCTCCTTCCCTTTCCCCAGTCAGCCGCCTCTTTTTTTTCCCCTTGTTGGTGACATTTTCAATTTCTGTGACTTTTTGTTTCAAACATGTATAGCTACCGATGCAAATTTTAAAACTCTTGACTGGATAAAAGCTCCTTTACTTTGGATACAAATACATCAGTAAAGACTCTAGAAAATCCATCCACCATCTTGGGAAATTCAGCCACGGTAACAAAAATGCAATGCCTGCCTCTTCCATTTGTTGTTTTTTTTTAGAAAAAGCTGGATGAGAATTTTTTTTTTATTCAGCCTAAAATACAACGTTATTTCCTGCTATGCTCTGAAAAGCCAAGAAAAGAAAGGCCATGTCTGAGACTGAACAGCAGGATTGTGTGCTAATTTGATGTCAAATTTGAAAGCTCATTTTAAATTGGCTAGCATGATGAGGTATCTTGTGATATACCCGTGGCCTCCTCTTCAGCCGTTTGTTCCACTTCCGCTGTGCCATCTCCTTGCACAGTGGTCTCTTCTGCAGCAGGTGCTGCAGCCTCTGTTTCTTGAACCTCTGATGCTGGTGTCTAATTAAGAAAATAAAGAGGAAATGAAACTGTTTACATCTTAAATGAAACCATAATATAGCAAATGCACTGCTACGATAGAACAGTGTCAATTTCAGATGGTTGGAATAGTGGTTCTTTCTTCATCCTTCACCTTTACAGCCCTGGTTTGATTCCTGGCTCAGTCCACACAAGGATTGGGTTGTCAGTCCCTCCCTCATTCTACAGGTTTAACCCACAAAAGTCTCCCCGTCCTCCAGCCTCTGAAGCTAGCTACACTGTATTTCCGACCGCAAACCTAAAGAGCTTTTGAAGAATCCTCGGTTTCACTTCCAGAAATGTTCCCGAGCCATGAACGAAAACACCCATCCTTCAGTAATCTTTCAGCAATACAATTAAATGGACATGTCGCCGTACCTCCTTTGTTAACAGATAAATCAAATAAAGAATTACAGCCCGAAAGAGGGGCGATTCACTGATGCCATGGGCCACCAAGAGGTTGCCACGGAGTGGTCATTTTTCAAGTTTTTTTATGACCACAAAAGGACAGCTGCTTTGCTGTGATTTGTATTTGAGCGCACGTCCGTAGGCAACTTGGGTAAAGTTTTGATAGATGGAGAAATTCCCTGCAACTGAGAGAAAGTGCTATACAAAATACACAAGTCCACTTGCCTGACAAACATCAGAAAAAACACAAGCTTCCTGTGTAAATCTGGTGGATAGAATTTGTGGACTATTTTCTACAATGCATTGCAGAAAATGGCCTGGAAAGAGTTCCACACATGGACAACACTTGACGTCCCTGTGTGCAAACCTACAGGACCTGTCTCATTCATCACATTCTGATGGCTGTTATAACATTTCAAGGGAAAATAAGTGTTGTCGGTATATGGAACTCTTTCAAGTGGCCTTTCTGTGGCAACCACTTGGTTGCACACTGATACTGTGAATCACCCATTTCAAAGAGCAACATTTTTCTCATGTTCCTCCATTTCAAGAAACAAAGCACATCACTGTCGGTCACTTCATCATTTATTTTTCAAACATTGTGTCTGTTTGATCAAGTTGTAAATGTTGAACGCCGATGCCTACTCCCTCCCATGAACTCAATTGGAAATGTTATCATTGCAGGTAAATAAATTATGGGATCCAAGATGTTATGGTTGTGTCCTGCAAAGCTAGCGGCATGCATAAATAAGTGAGGGTGCCGTTTATTTGGAACTTTTTCCTTAAATACATGTAGGAAAATGGGATTAAAATTTGTCTTCTTATGCACGCTGTAGCTCCTCTGTTTAATATCTGATTTCCAAATTTTTGAAATCTGAAGTGAAGCCTGCATTGGATTAATTGAAATAAAGCACAAATAAGAACAAAGATTTTACAAAAACATGGATTTTGAGCTTCCCAGTTAAAATCCACACTCATTTTTGTGTAAAAACTAATCACGGTTACGCTTTGCATTACACGTGTACAAAAATGTTTATGAGCCCATTTCATTATGTACACATTGTATTTTTTACAACTTAATACAGGGCTCCCAGAGAGAGCTACCCTGGGAAAATGAGACAAAATAAATAAAGAAATAAAAACACCTAAAAACATCCCTCCTTCAAATCGATTTTTCTTTGCTTTATAGAGTCTGATGGAATTCAAATTTATATCAAAATAGTTCTTATGACATCCTATTCAAGATCACTTCAAAAAATAAACAGAGAAAAACATGAAAAATTTATCAGCCTCCCTACCAAAGCTACAAAAATCACAACTCATCTTAAAAATTCTAAGTTCTTTCTATAGGGTAGGATTCAATAAACTGCTACATTTGAATTTTTAGGAGGTTTTAAACCACTGTAAGGGAATTCTCACGGTCGGAGGTTGTTCCACTTATTGCACTCACGTCTGGGCGAAGGGGCAATTCTCCATTCACTTTGGACATGAATTTGCATGTCTTCCTCCTTTTTGCTGCAACATGATTAAAATCACTGGAACCTTTTCGGTAGTGTGGGAAATATTTATAGCACCTAAACAGTGAAATTTCAGGCACGTTTGATGTAAAGGTTAAGAGTTTAGTCAATAATTCAGATTTTCCCCATAGACAGCAACACTATTTTTGTCCCTTTGAGTTTCGACTGTGAAATATGGAAAAGCCATCAACTGACCAATCAGAGAGAAGAATTAAGACTCAGTGACGTCATCTGGACTGCGAGAATATAGGCCTGGGCCTAAATGATGTCCGTAGTATGAACTCTTACCTACTTCCCGAGCAGTACTTAGACTTAGGTTTTAAAAACCTTGTTCCCCCTCCCCCATCACCAACAGAGGAAGTGTTAAGTAAACAATATCTTTTATTATGGAGAACTTTATCAGTAATGAATACAGGGTACAAGTACATGTAGACAGTAACAGGTCAGTTGAGTTGGGCTTGAAATTTTTAGTGATGTTTGAAAGATCACGGAAGCATAGTTTTGATGTGATATTCTGTCATCAATAAATAACTATAAAAATAAGGGACCAAGTCTGTCAGGTGTCATAAGTTCGTGTTTGACTGGATCTTTTGATAACATTTTATTGCGACAACATGTATGGTTTATGCGCTTGTTATTTGCATCTTGCTACCTGTACACCATGCACCAATCTGATGCACATACATACACCATATAAGCACAGTTGCACGACAGCAACCAAATACAAAAGACTGTTGGACACCAGTTCGACATCAATTTTTGACAAAAAAACAACTTTCTTTTCTTCCTGAAATTCCAAGCTTCCAAATAAACACCATTTCATATAAGTTTCATCAACTCCTTATACATGTTTTTGGGGGATTTTCAACAGAAAAATGCACATTTTTTGTTACCTTTTTGTAGTCTTCACAAACCAAAACAAGGCTTGACGGTGCTTTAGTCAAATGCCTTGAGTCATACATCAAATGAAGAATGTTATAAGCTCTACAAGATGATGACATCATTGTTCAAAACCCGGTTGAAACTCGCGAGATATTAGGCTTAGACGAGACTATGTCGCATGACAACATATAAAGATGGCCGCACACAGTTGTTGATGTACAGTAAGTGGCTCCGATCTTACATTATTTTCATCATACTTTACACCCAAAACTCAACGTAAACAGACATAATAAATGGTACTGACACAAATTTCAGTTCTTTTACAACACAACTGCTTTTTAAAATATAGAATTTGATGCACAAAAAGGGCAGAAATCACTTATTGAAAACAAACACTTTTACACGCTTTCAGATATACAATTTAGAGGTGCTGTTTCACTGGACTCCCTGTCTTAGATAGGAAATAGGCCTATTGTGATTAAAATTTCAATTTGTCTTTTTCTGCAAGCTCTACTTAAGGTAGGCCTAGCTCCTCTATTTAATTTCCAAGCCAGTATTTAATTCATTGAAATAACGCGCAAATAAGAACAAAGATTTCATGGAAATGTGAATTTCAAGCTTTTCAGTCAAACTCCACATTCATTTTTGTGTACAAAAAATCACAGTTGATTTCGTGTGCTGGGCGTTTACACACGTACAGACGTAGCTACCCGTAGGCCTAGGCAACAACATCAGGAACATGAACATGATGTCGATGAATAAACAAGACCGTGAAAACTTAGACAGTGTTGTGAAGTGGCATTTATAAGAACTTTGCGCACTGTACTAAAAAGCTTCATGACTATTTTTAAAGGGTGGTATTTGGTTGTAGCGCAACATAAACACTGAAAAAACAGACTGACAGAGCTTATTTGTATTACCTCTTCGTCCGCCATGTTGGTAAATAGCCACTCCGTCTCCTTGGTGTTTGAAGGTCTGAAGTCCAGTCCTCGCTTCTACGCACGTGTAGTGAGTGCGCACATCGCGATCAGGGTGCCTGCGTTTGCAACCTCGTATGAAAAGAACATGTTCCAGTGTGCGCATTTTCCCATAGGTGTGCATGTCGCGCATTTCCTCGGATCAGCATACACCTGGCAATGAGGTCAAAACCCCGCGAAGATTTGACTTCTGCAAAATCGCGCTCAATTTGAGGCCAGTCAGTCAGTACTGCTTTTGTGTGGAGCTAGCTGAGTTTCAAGCAAGAGAAGCAACAGAATTTAGCAGCACAGTAACAGAAACAGTATGATGGCAAGGATGAATTCGGTCGATAATTACCCAACCAAACCGGGCCAGATTCAGGTAAGATTGTTTGAAAGTTTGCAGTTTCTGAAGCGATGATCAGCTGATTGTGAATATTCGATCATTTGTCATGTTTGTAGATTTACACGTTACAACCTGCAAGTGGGCGACCGCGGGGAACTTGCGACCATGACTGACCTCAATTCTCATGATTTGGGGCCATCGTTGTAACCATGCCAAATTAGCCATTTTGATAATAAATAAATGTCTGCATGGCGAAAGGTTCCTCCGAAATTCTGGCTTTTCCATCATGATTGTCCTTGCCCATGGTATACGGTCGAATACCGAAAAAGAAATTGTTATAATTTTTTATATCCAATGTAGTAGGCCTAACTATTTTATTTAGTTAACAATTAAGCATGTTAAGTCTTTCACCATTTACAGCTTACCATGCTGTACCGTACAGGATCCAACTTTCATGACTGTACATGTATCATGTACATTATTTTTTGTCATTAATTTATAATAATGTTTGCCAATTACATCAATGGTTTGTTATTGTAATAAGTGTACGTTGCATCATTGGGCCCCTACTCAAGAAGCTGTGCTTCTTGGGGGGTCTCTATCCATCAACGTAATGTGTATAACCTTGTATCTCTTAAAATTTTACACACCACTTCATCCACATTTATTTTTTCCTGTTATGTCTTTAATACTTAGTACATAGGCTACCTACAGTTTTGTGGAAACTAAAGAATGAATAAATGAATCTCTTATTGTATTTGGAAGAAGTGAAGTAAACTTCTGAAGTTGCTTGTGCTAGGATGGGGAAAAAATAAAGTCCAATTTAACATTAAACTCCTCCTTCATTTTCTTATAGGCATTTAATTAGCCAATCTCTCTCAGGTGGCCCTGGTCTTACCAATTCACACAGATCTGGTTCTTGTCATACTGCGTTGCACCAACAGGATTTTTCACTGCAAATCATTACCATGTAATGATGTACATGTACACGATGGATGATAGTGCATGTACTCAGTAGTACCCCATTCTCATTCTATTTCAGGTTATTTTCGGCCCAATGTTCTCGGGGAAAACGTAAGTAAACCAAATAAAAACAGATTCCCATTAACACCTGCTTCCTTTATTCCTGCATGCCTCTTTAGATTTTCTATTAAAATAGAAATATGAATTTGAGTTTGAAATTTGAATGAAAATTGAATTTGCAATGTACATGTATCGTGACTTTTTGTTTCCATAGAAACTTACCACTTGCAGATTGATGAATACTCCTTGAAAGTATCAGCAACAGATTCCATAGATCTTTTGGACAGTGTGCTTCAGATGTAAAACAAAAAAAAATTCCTGAAAAACGGCTCCTGCCTCCTTTTTTTAAAAATCCTGGACGAGAAATGAGGGTTTTCTTGTAAACGTCCTTATCTGTGCCAATTTATAGAAAAAGGAGTCGGGTGCATTATCTCAGAGTTGGCCTGAGCTTCCATGCATGATTGTTACATAATTCACTTCAAGCAAACCTTTTGAGCAGATGGCTTTGTATGAACAAGAGTAGTACATGTTCAAACTGACAGTTGAAATGATGCTGCGGCTTATCTCCAAGTAATAAGACAGGTGAATGACGTGTCTGTCAACGATGGGTTGTGCTATTAGTAATGACCAATGACTGTCCAATAATGTTGTCACTCGACCCTAGGACTGAACTACTACGACGCATCAAACGTTTTGAAATTGCCAACTACTCCTGTCTGGTCATCAAATATGCCAAGGACGACCGATATGACAAGGAGGGCGTAGCAACCCATGACAGGTAACTTTTAGCAGAGCTGGTGCTCGCCTAAGTTGCAGTGCATGAAAAACCAACCACTTTAATGAAAGATAAATGAATGCCAGTCTTTAGCTTTCAAGTACATGTACCTCCAGGAAAAAAAAAAGCAAAGAATCCTGAAAAAAACTGATCCCCCGTCTCTTTTTCTTGTGCCCGACAACGTGAAAATTGTCATTTTTGCTAAAATTGTCTCACTGAAAAGCAATAATCTCTTTTTTTTATTCAAATACGCAAAAAAGTGCTGCCAATTTGTCCATATTGCCTTCTTTGGGTGTGATTGATCTCTTTGCCTGGAACATTTTCTGGTTTCATTTCCGATCTTAACTACAGACAAGTTACCAAAGCAGTATCCACAGAATGCCTGTATGATCTACTTGACAGCTCAACAAATCATGATGTCATAGGCATTGACGAAGGACAGTTTGTAAGTACAATGTACATCAACTGTAACTTTTAAGTGCGTAGTTATGTTCTTTTTCAATTAATGCACCAAATTCCTATATTTTATTTTGGCTAGCTACACTTCCAATGGTTTGGATTTCCAAAAGAAACACGTCAAACTATGAATTTTGTTGCGCATTTCCCAAACAAAAACATATTTGAAGATTACAGCAAACAACATGGCCAAAGTTGCTTGCTTTACCTACACATCTGCCTCTTTCATTTTTTTGTTGTGCCCAGTTTCCCGACTGCATCGAGTTTGCAGAGGACATGGCCAATCAAGGAAAGATAGTGATTGTGGCTGCGCTAGACGGAACATTCCAGAGAAAGGTTGGTGGATGTAATCTTTCAAGATTTTCCCAGAAGGAGCTTTGCATCAGAATTCCCCTGAGGGTCGATGGATCACAAGAAAGGGAAACTGAGCCTTGAAAAGAATTCAGAAGAAAGTTTATCAAACTTGCTGCATCTACTCAAAACTGAAATACCTGAAACACTGAAATCAATGTATTATTAAATAGTCATCAATCCTTAACCCTAACAGTCCTCAGTCCTCCAACAGGTGAAGGATTGAGGACAGTTAGGGTTACATTTTGAGTGTGCATACATTCAAGGGATTAAATTAAGCAATCAGCTCAGGCTGCACACAAACCTTCAAACAGATTTACTGAAAACTGCAAGATAACTTCTGGGTTAGGGCTGTGCCAAATATTGGATTGATTATCAAATATTTGAATATTATTTTCCAAATTTGAATTTTCAAATGCATAATTCATGAAAAAGAAGAGAGAATTTTCTTTTGTTTTAAATGAGAAAAATTGCACTGTGGAAGCTTGTTTCGAGCAGATTTAAATTAAAGTGACAAAGTTTACAATGACTCAAAAAGTAAAGTATTCATTTCAAATTTAAAAGGAATAGAAATTTTCAACAGGGTAAGAAGTACATGTACTGTTTGTCTCTTAAATCTTGCAAAACTGTGGCTGAAGATACCCCTATAGTGATTATTATGCACAATTGTGTGGTTTTTGCAACTGATGTTGTACATAGTTTACTCAACAATCTGCCGGCCGGTAAGACCAAAACTTTGGATATTCAATCAAATTGAAGGTCAAATATTCAAATAGTCAATTACTCAATATGACTCGGCCCTATTCTGGATACATTGTTAAACACTTGATCTGATAACCTCTATGTCCTTTCCAACAGGGCTTTGGAAATATTTTAAACCTAGTCCCGCTAGCAGAGAACGTTGTCAAGCTGAATGCGGTTTGCATGATGTGCTACCAGGAGGCATCATACACAAAGCGAATGGGCATGGAAACAAAGGTTAGCAGGGGATTTTCTTTTTCCTGTTTTTAATACACCACTTCCTAATGATACCGTCACTAATAGGCTTTGGAGCAACCTTTGTTTACCAGCCTACATGTATTTTCATTAATTGGAAAGTCACAGGCAGTGCAAAGACAATTTACCACAGCAAAACAAATCTCACATTTTAGTGCTAAAACAATAGCTACATTGTGATTACTTCCTCGGATGAGATCACACCCTTGCTCATAAATGTACATTAACATACATGTGTAAATGCTCCACAAGATCCTTTGAACTGGTAACACAAAAATAAAAAAACAAACATTTGAATGGGGCACAAAGTTGTGTTTTCATGGGTTTTGTTTTTAAAAATTCCTTAAAAGTATCCAGGCACTGGACTTGAAAGCCTGGAAACGATGACTGAGCAGTGCTGAGAATTAATGTTTCCTGTTTGACAGGTGGATAGACATTGCCAGGGAATAATCTAGAGCTGAATCATGCAATGATGCAGAGAACTCAAAACCCAACCAGCCTTTGTAGCAGGGCTGTAGTTAAAGTACTTTCCAAGAGCCAAGTTCACTGTCACATATTAGGGCGATTTGGTGGGGCTGAAGCTGGATAATGAGTCAGAAAAATGCTCAACAAAGTTAGAGTCTAGATAATCAGAATCTTGTAAAAGCAAAACGGCTGAAAGACAAATAATTTTAAGAAAGTACCTCCAAGTGCATTTTTTAGTTCTTCTGTACCGAGGTGTAATTAAAAAGTATTGTGTCTGAAATCCCAAGTTACTTGCTTCCTTCAGTGGATAACTTCTGCTGTCCACTGTCAATATCTCTCTTGCTACGGTCACAGCAAACGTCTTGGTATTTGTTGGTGAAAAACTACTTGAAAAGTTTGGAAGTAGTCAAGTGCAAAGTGTACTACAGCCATACGGCTGGAAGGCAAGATTTAAGAGTTTTGCTGGTAGTGCTCGTTTGTTCCACTTTTCCCGCAGCTGGAAGTCATCGGCGGCGCCGACAAGTACATGGCCGTGTGTCGTGAGTGCTTCAACAAGCCGGCGCATCCGTCTCCAACTCAGGAAGAAAATGGCAACTCCTTTACCACGCCAACATGTGACGGCACTACCATCACTTCCAAAGTCCATGGCCGAAAGCTATTTCCAAGTCCATGCAGTGCACGCAACAGTATAGCTCAGCAAAGTTAGATTTCCCAAATTAAAACAAAGAGCACGAAAGAATATGATACAAAGACAGGGAGTTTAAATGTTTATATCCAATTCTATTTCAATCATTTCTACTTGACTTTCTAGACTTTTAGACCAAACAGTGAAACCCTGAAATGCTGCAGATACATATACATGTATGTGTTCAGACTATGCAAAATTATACAGCTTTCTTATTTGGATTTATGCACGCTTTCTGGATGAAACACCCCTCGTCAGATGGGTGGGTCATCGTTTACAAACACTGACTTATTCAAAATACATGTAGTCAACAGTATGACCGCTGAATAAGTGCCATTTAAAGACACAATAGGTTCTGACTTGCAATGTCTTATCCTGTCTGCATGAAAAGGTTGCATTCAAGGGACAATGCCAAATGGTTACGGCGCCCATGCATGCCAAATGGTTACGGCGCCCATGCATGCCAAATGGTTACGGCACCCATGCATGCCAAATGGTTACGGCGCCGATGCATGCCAAATGGTTACAGCACCCATGCATGCCAAATGGTTACGGCGCCCATGCATGCCAAATGGTTACGGCGCCCATGCATTGTGCATAGAAGTTCAGTGAAGCTGCGGTCTGTTGCATTGTACATATATTGTATTCGAAGTAGAATCATTCATCTGAGAAGTAAACCATATGACATTCCTTTTTATAATACATGTATTTTAATGTGTACAGAGGTTGAAATCCAGTTAGTTTTACATTTTAATCCATAGTTTTCAGGTACAATAAAATAGTAAATGCAATCTTAATCCATGTGTGTGGAAAATTGTTATTTACTGTACGGTACGCAGAAGTTCAGATGACCCTGGCAAATTTGATTTGACATTTTTCATTACACCAGTTCCTGCATCATAATTAATTTGTCTCATTGACTATACAAAATACTGTTTATATTGTATATGGATACAGAAAAATTTGTAAACAAAGTTTGGTTGCACTATTTGAAAGTTTTGTGGAAAATTGTGATGTTCACACTCGATGCATTCAGTTCAGAAAAGATGCAACTCCCTGAGAAACATGTGATCAGAGTTCACTGAAAATCTAAAATCCCTTGATATGGTTTTTGTCCATAGTACAGATGGGGGGTGCATTGTGCTGCCCCTTGAGTTGTTTGGAAAATCTCTGGATAGCAAGCAAAAAAACCTGGGTATTAGCATTTTCTATGTAGGAGTCAAGCACGGCTACTTCCAACACCATTTTCAGAGGAACAGGACTGGTACTAGATGAAACCAAGAAAGTGACCATGGTTAGTATCGGGTGTGAGAGTTCAGCTCGTTTTAGCTTTTTGAATACCTACCTATAGCCTGTACCAAAGTACTGGAACTTTTAACATTTCAGCTTTTTGCTAGCTGTTTTCAGCTTTGAGTTTAACTGGCCGCTCACACCCCGGTACTAAGTAAGTGGGCAAGCATAGAACGACCAGTCTGATTTGTGTTGATGGAAGAAGAGCAGCCCACAAGCTGTTGACCACCATCCTGGGTGGGATTTGAACCTTGGTCACGAACGTGGAAAAGGCAGAGAAAGTGAATGCACCAACATGATATGACTCCATGAGTTCAGCCTGACAAAGGAACTTTTAGAAACTCCAAATACAGTTGAACCTCATTAATAAGAGCACAAATACAACATTCTGATTGTCAAAAGGAAATTTTTACATTCAGTTCCTTTGTTCTTCCATGCTTTCATTCCTGATAAAACAAGGTTCCTGTCAAGGCTGTCAACCGCCTTGAGCAGAAGCACCGCCTCATTGGTTGAAAAGAGCCATGCTGGTGGAAAGCGTTCATTTTGACAAGAGTGACACGACCATAACACATGCATTACACAGTCGCTTGTGAACCAGCGAGTGCAGTTCCCATCACAGGAGCCTCTGTTGCTAGGAAACTTGCACCCTCTCTTGGTCCTGCTCGGGGTGGATAACAAGATAATCAGCAAAGTCTGAAGGACCTCTTGCTAATGGGGTTCGACTCTTTCACAGCACACATTTGGTGGCAGGACGACAATAGAAACACAAATCTGTCCGGCTGTGATCACACCGAGTCAAACGGGACTTTTTTCAACACAGTCCTAATCATTGAATGAAAACACATCCTTTCCAACTATGTTGTTACACAAATACATACTGTTATTTGCTTTAAAAGCACATTATTTCAAAACTGAAATTCTGAAGTTTCATAGCCAACGTTTAAACCCTGTTTTCGAATCTTTGACAACATGTCGATTTTATGAAAGTTGAAATTTGATGTTTCAGATTTCCACTGTGTCCATCTCATCAAACACCTCACAGCCCAACAACCTCTTCGTATGACGGGGGTGGCTTGACGCTGTTGCTTCCTGCAGATCTGAGGGTAAAAGTTTCAAACAAGATGAAACATCTTATAGAGAAAAAATGTTTCACAATTAAATTTAATAATAAATAAAAAATTTAATGCTCTTGATTGCCACATTTTCACAGGGTGATTTTTGGCACTTTTCCATCAAGCTTTCTCAATATTTGTCACAGCATTTAAAAAAAATTGCAATTGATCCTGAACGGCTTTGCAAGGCAATTTTGAAGACAAAGAAAAGCAGGCAATTGAAATGCAATGAACTACATGTAATTATTTCACACTTGCACCCCTCCTTCAAAAACCATAAATTCTTTTGCTTGGAATATTAGACCATTGAAATGTTGGTGGTAAAAAGCAAACTTGTTTTAACTAGAGAAAAATACTGTGCAGTAGTCCCACTGGTAAACACAGCAGATAAGTGTTTTTGAAAGCTCTGATTTTGTTTTGTTAATTTATGCATATTCAGTTATTTAAAGTCCATTTGTACGTACATTTGATCATTTGAAGGGCTGTATGGCAGTACATGAAAGACCTGAGATTGAACAGCATTGGTCTGCCATCCAGTGAGGTAACCCGTTTGTCCAGTGCTTGTCCGTAGCCCAGTGGGCTGACCCATTTGCCCAATGCTGCTGGTCTGTTGCCCGGTTGGGCAACCGGTTTGCCCCAGGCTGGTCAGTTGCCCAGTGGGATTACCCATTTGTCCCATGCTGGTCTGCGGGCCAGTGGGATAGCCATATCGTCCCATGCCAGTCTGCTGCCCAATGGGGTAGCCCACTTGTCCTTGGACTGGTTGAGGCAGAATCGTGACCCCACTCTGACCTGTTGTCCACACGGCACCCACTGTTCTCTGTTCCACCTCTAACCGGGAAGAGGTGTCCATGTTGACACTTGTCACATCGTTCCCCAATCTACTTTCATTCCCTTCCTCTTGAGAAGTTTGTTGGGTTTCTCGCTGGAGTGCCTGACAAGTTTTGGCTACTTTTAGAATGCCAATGAAAATCAAGACAGAGCCCAGAATGGGGAATCCAATTAGTAAACCCATGGGTGCGTCATGGCTGAAGATGCCAAAGATGAAGACAGGCAGACTACAGAATACCACCAAGCCAAACATGACGGAGAAGATGCCCATCCACATGTGGCAGCACAGTTCTGGTGGCATCTGTCCTGGGGAACTGAACCCTGGCCCAAAGTTATTGCTAATATTGCCTCCATGGCCGCGACGGTTGAGACGCAGGCCAAACCGCAGGCCTACAAGTCGATTGCGAGGACGATGATGATGGTGCGCTCTGGCACGGTGACGGTGCCGACCGCGAGCTCGACCTCCTCTTCGCTGTCCGATCCCCATGATGGTGATATAAACTGATACAATTAATTATACACTTCTCAATATCTCAACTTCAAGGGGCTGCGCACAGGTATGAGAACTTTTACTGACCAGAATCATGGGCCATGGATCAATTGAATATTCTTCCAAGTAGGAATACGTATACACTGAACCAAACTCTGCTTTGACGCGGGAGGGAGCAAAACATGGCAGCGCTGGGCCGGAATAGCTTACGCCCTGATTCTTAAATTAATCGACCGTAGTTCGTACGTGTGATGTATTCAACCGCAAGCGAGCGTTACTTAAAACTCCATTCTACATTCTTAAGTTGAAGAAGCGGACAATAAACTCTTCTCGTATTAGGCCTGCATTCCTTTTTGAATGATTTTGGGTTTTTAATGACCAGTACAACTTGAAGCCTCGTCGCGTCCCACTGTCATCGCGTACGACTTCGCTCCGGCGCGGCATGACCGGTAGTATAGTACAGTTGACGCGTCATCGTATCTTGGAAACAAAATTTGCCCGTACCCCTGAAAACGAGAGAGGGCGCTGTTGAAAATGAAAGTGGGAGGAACGACGGGTCTGTGATACAGACGCATTTAGCTTTCACACCCGGGTAAAGGTATCAAACTTTTAATATGGGGACTGCATGCACTTCTCACTCTCGCTGACGATAACCAATGTCAATACGCGTTCCAGCTTCTGCAATCTTTGGACCTGAACCACAGCGCGATAACAAGAAAACAGCAAAGCGCAGAGCGCAACATTAATTAAAACTTAAACAAAACTGCGCGGCAACCTGGTTTCTCCTTTTACGTGTACACTATTGTTACACTGATGGATGAGCCACTTTGTACTTTCTCGAAATGCTTACTTCATAAACAAAAAGGGTGCAGTATGTTACTCTTTTGGTTCGACGGCGACGGGTCACTTTCGTTAAAGTAATCAAGGGAAGAGAAGGTATGATACCACGGCCCGACTCCCTTGCAGCCCCCGCGCTAAGAGCAAAGCACGTTGGGGTTCGGTGCGGTGCATTCTTGTTCTGGCGTTCCATTCCATCACACGATCTCCCGCTCTCGCTCCGTTGCGCCACTCGATGGCCCCCGGAGTGTAAACCTGGATTTGTTTGCTTGGAAGTTCCTCTAACCAACCCTTCCGAGGACCGTGGTGCAAAAAAAAGAAACACAGGGCACATTCTGCATGCGTGTGAGCGCAGTGTTTGCCAAACCATAAATCACTTGTGAAAAGCTCTTCCGCACTGTGGAGGCGAGAAGAGGAGATCCCGCCATTTTTCATTTGTGTCAAATCTCATTCGATAGCATAGCCAACGGTCACTATCCACAATGACTAAAAACAAGTGGCGGTCAAGGAGGAAAAACATCTAAGGACCTTTTCCTTTTTTTTTCGTTTCTAATGCTACTTCGGTACTGCTGCAGGAGAAGAAATTAAAAAAATAACTCGTGGCAGGTAGGTAAATAGAGAAGCAGTTATGCATCAAGATGTTTTTTCTGTGTATGGGCAAGTCAAACGGCTTTTTTTAATGTAAATCATTATTTCACTGATACTGAGCACGAGTTTGGGCAGAAAACTTTGTGAACATAAAAATGCACATCCAAAGACTTTTCATAATCCACATTATAGTCACACTAAAAAAATAAATAAAATGGGATTAATACGAAACACAGAAACTGCACTGCAGGCCAATGTTTTCCAACAGAGGGCGCTGTTGAAAGAGAGTGCATGGCCCAGCAGGTACGTATGCCCGATATGGCAGTATGTAAGAGGTACGCGGAAGCCACTTTGGTGCAGCTAGTTTTGTCAGGTTAACGCACTTGCGGAGCACCGCTAGGCATGTTATTGTTGCACAGGTGTTTCTTCGGATGTATGAATTAATGGACCCTTTCACTCCGGAGAATTGGCAAAGAAAATGGATTTTTACACACTTAGTTTCATGTGCAACAGCTGGCGGGCCACAGGGTACACCTACGTGGATAATTCGCATCCATATGATGCAAGATATGCAGTAAAGGGGACCCCCTCCATTGTGTCTTCTTTTGTGTGGATAGAATCTTTAGAATTCCTTTCAGATTTCTGAAGGGGGTGCAGTAGGCAGAATAGCCTTAGGGAATACAGCTTGAACATCTCATGGGGGGGTGCCCTTTACCTCATATCGTGCTGGGTATCACATTGCAACGCCTGAAGCGAGGTAGTGAGATGGGATAATGCACTTACGTGTCTGCACACTGCAGTGTCTACACAGATTGGTAACCCCCGCTCGATCCAGCCCCTACAGAATTTCATGTTCTACGAAGTGAATTTAAACGTGTTTTTATTCCTCCGTGATTTAAACGACGCGACTCGTAAGATATTCATGGCCAATCTAATCGAAATTTTGTAACGCTGTCATAGATTCTTGTTCTTCATCCAGAAGCCTATATCATGATGGACTAATGTTATTTAATTTATCAAGTGCCAGAAAAGTTTTAATTCTGCCAAGGTATTCCGTACATTGGTGTATATATAAATTATAGTCTGAATGTGCATCGAATTGTATGGTATACAGAGAGCAATAACCATAGAGCAAGGATAACGTAACGCAATTTTTTTTTTACTGTTGCCTGATTTTCACCACAATTGATGTTAACTCATTAGTTCAAATTATTATACGAAATACACAAAAGTCAATCATGTTAACATGTGATGACAACAGTTTTGCCTGGGTGTCTCTCTGTGATTTCGTTGTGTGATGGATGTTTCTAATTTCATAAGGATTCGCAGTAGTGCTTGGTATAACTTTCAAATCTTGTTAATCATTAACCAGAGTAAACAGAGATCACAATCTCTGACAACGGTGAACTGGCACACCGATATGAACCGACGTGTTACATCGCACTCTCATGACAGGTGTTTACATTTCATTCTGGGCACAACGGCGCATACATTTTCCGGAACAGTGGGAAGGGAGAGAAATGTACAGTATACTGTGCCCTCCTTGGAACGTTGCAAACTTCTAGAGTATCGCGTTGGAATCTTCTCACGTCTTGAGTAAGTCAAACTGGCACTTAATTTAACTCGCAGTGGCATTTAAAACCACATAATTACAGCGAGGTAAATGTACCATTAGGAATGTTGAGAAACAGAACAGACGGCAGATAAGTCAGTGTGGTAAGGTGAAAGTTCCACATATTGTGATTGTTGCTACGAGTCACTCGTATCGAGTGACAAGTTGGGCACAGGACGACCCTGGCATGTACATCTTGTGCATGAATCGAATAAAACTTCTACTCAGTGCAACAAGCAATTATACTAAAACTGCCTGCTCCCGAACTAGAAATTGTCAATAGCGTGCTCTTTTCTCTTGAATTCTCAATCCGCAAGTTGCCTCTTCTGAAATGCCCTTACCTGGAAAGAAAAGTAATTAAAGTGCACGCGATTACAATTATTCCCAATACTGCATGGACCTCTCAAGGAGCGCCATACAATACATTTATACAGTTGATGATAAATATGTTTTTACATTCGTATGAAACACATCCAGCCCACTTCTTTTTCGACAGTCCTCGTGTGGACAAAGCGACTGATGGAGTTCTTTAAGTTTTGCACTGGTAAGAGTTAATTCCGAAGCATTTTGATTGGGCAAACTGTGATGACGACATCGGTGGAGGACAAGACCAACCTTTTGCTATTGTGTATTGTTGGTCAAGCAGGTAAAGACTGCCAATCAGCTCCACTCTGCCCGTCAACGTGCTTTGTGCTTTCACCATCACACGATTTTTGCACTTCATCAGCAGAATTGAAAGAGGTGGGCGGGTACGACCACACGAGCACGAGGTTGCTTCGCTCCGCTATCGCACAATTGTCGTGGTTCTACCACTGCCGTCCGACATTGGTCGTCATTCCCCAATAGAATGTTCCTAACAGCAACACTCAAACTGTTTTTGCATGCCCCATTCATCAGTGAAGATGCAGTTATTTTCCCGTTCAAACCAGCAAAGTTAACGTCTTATCCAGAAGATTCAATTTCGCTGCATCTTCTGCCACTTGGAACCGGCCAGATGAGGTAGAAATTGTGGGATAGTTGTCACAATTGCGTTTGACGTCCATATTGGTAATCGTAGAAATTGGTCCAACCAACAAACTAATCAGTTAAGCGCTCACCTTTAACTTAAACATAAACAGTTAAGGTCAAAATTACGGAAATTCCCTTCTCGCGCGTAAACTTTACAAAATTCAATGCAGAACAGCCTTTATACAGAACTTTCTTCAGTCGTATTAAGGATTCTGTTTGAAATAGTTTTGTGTTATTTCAAAATATAGTTACATGTTCAATATACGAATCAAAAAGAAAAAGAAATTCTGGAGATTTATCAGACCTTTTTCCATAATTTATAGATTTGATTTTGAAAACGAAACTTGTTCACGCTGGTTGAAAAGCAATGAAGGCCCTTGGTAAAAGCAAGTCATTTCCACCGTAATTTCCAAGAGGCGATCCAAACCTCCCACAGTGGCGCAAAAGCCGATTACAATGTACCTTCACATTTTCACCAGAATTGTTTTGCATTGTTCGCCATTGTCACTGAAGTCTGCTTGAGCATTCGCTTCCTTGTCCGGCATCTGAAAACTGCAGGGAAAAGGAGAGAAGAAAAATGTCCACGGTAAGGTTCTGCGTTCAGACTTTCGAGCGATGAAGACTCATCGTGCCGGTAATGGGTTAACCTCGTGACAATACTCACGGGGTCTGCACTTTTCACGTCACAGTCGTATATTTTTGCCCACATGGACTGGTAAAAGTATCCGCTCCAAGCGGAACAAAAGAGGGCGTGTTTTGGGGTACTTACCATGGACATAAACAGCCTCAGTTATTTATGTCTGTGGTACTCACCCCATGATAGGTGCGCCGTGAGGCGCGCAAGTATATGCGCGTTTGACGCGGAGTTACTAATTTATTCCGGCATGTATGGTCTCTGCGTACACGCAGAACGCGTGCAAGAACCCGCTTGTAACCACATGTCTTTCTTTTGTCGATTGGGGGTGCACTTCAGCTCGGGACGGATAGGGCACACCGTCAGCACAAAAGTATCATTCACAACGTGTTACCAAAATCTCATTCACTTATTACAACACCCAATAGTAAATACTATGTATAAAAATATGATCCTCTTTAAAGTAGGCCTAGTGGGGATCGGAAAATGTACATTATAAAATTCAAGCCAAGGTGACATTTCTGCAAACCTCAAGCTGCCCATGCGAGCGGGGTCTTGGGCGGTTTGTTCTCGTATGTTTACGAACAGCTCGATTTGTTGTTCGTGGGTAGACCGCTCGAACACTGCGAACAAACAACCGGTTATTGATGGTACCTAGTGGCAAGCAACATGGCGGCAGCCATGTACGTTATTCGAAAGTTAATGTTTGGATGGGTCAAATTCTTTTCTATTTAAACAGGAACATTCATTGCTGTGTTATGGAAAGTAATATTGTTAATTTGGCAAAACTTCCCATTGCCTGCGGCTTTGGAAGCCATCTCTATGCTTTTTGCAGCTGTCCAAAAATCAAATCTCACGAGTTTTTCCGTGTGTTCCAATATAAACCCTGGCAAGGAGGTGGTGTGTGCTCCTGTTCCGAGAACAGTTTTCTTGAGTCGTGTTCCTGCCGTTCGAACGCGAGAACAAGAAACCCGTGTCCAGAACAGGCCGCCCGAACTTGACCATAATTGTTGATCGAGGGGTGTCAGTCACGTGAATTCAACAAAACATCATACATCAATTTTCTTTTCAGTTGTGAGAGGGGACAACCAGTCTAAGGTATTCAGTTTGAATCTATATCTGTTAAGTGGTCACAGCGCGAAGTTTCATCAGGCGGCCATGTTTGTCTCATTCTCTATAGACCCATCGGCAACAGCCATGCAACTTTACAAATTAATAAAAGGGAACAGTCTACACATTACCCTCCAGCCTCAGTTTGGTTACTTAATTTGCTTTGAATGGTAGAAAAGAAAGATGGCTGCCCCAAAGGATAGATAGAGGATAGAGGTCTATGCTACCTCTTCTTCTCCACCAATTGGCGTGTTGCAGAGGAGTACCCAGGCCTTTTTACCCATCGCTTTTTGTGAAAAAAAAATTAACATAACTTTGAGGTTGTCCTCCCTGGATAATTCATAATCTTGCTTACGAACATTGGATCACTTGAAAGAGGCACTAAAATACCCTTAAAAATAGCAAGGTAACATTTGCGAATACTGTTAATTGAGAAAAAATTGTGCATTTTCAAGGGTTCTATTAAAAGGTGATTACACTGCCCAGACCCCTTAAAAACTACGATCAAATCCATTAAGTGTCCTGACTGGAGAATGAACCCTGTATGGGGTGCCTTTCGTAAATTAAACTATGTTAATTAAACACAACTACCATTGGATTCGTTGCAAAGTTGGGCGACTGCACTTTAAGTTGAAAAAAAAAGACCTGACGACATTTTAAAGATATATGGTCTTCTCCTGTCACAGAAGAGAAGATAACCGGGTTAATACTGTTTAATATTTAACCGTTGGAAGGGAATTTCGTGCCTTCGTGCTGGCCGGTCGGGTTGATCTCTGGCTCATCCCTGTGATAGGTCACCCGTGTCACTGAATTGCAGATCTGGCCAGGCCGCAAACATGCACGGCTCTTGCAACCATTCATTAACTCTCACAGCAACCTCGTAAACCACATCGGAATGGGCTCGATCACGCGTTCAGGCCTGCGCCTGTATTTTTGACTGTTTCATGTTCGCCGGTCATGCTCTTCGCACTCTCCTCAACTCATCGAGGATTGAACGTGTTGCAAATAATTAAATTTCGGGAATGCCACCTAAAAATTCTACATTTTAAAGTCCCTTATAGGACCCCAAAAATCTCGTGGATACTGGACTCCACGAGTGTATTCATTACTGGCGTGGTTAGAATTACGTTACAGTCGTATGACACTGGAAATTTTGTGGTCGGGGGGATGCTGGCTGGCTTGAAACTGGGCGGAAAAGTGCGAAGTCGAGTGCACAATTGCCGCCGTAATACCGCGGTAATAACTGTTTTTCGTCTCAGGCGTTGTTTAGTAATTGCAATCAAAGTGTTAAGACCCTGCCAATCATAAACGAGTGCCACGGGACCAACAATCATGTACTTGCACTCAATCGTTGTGTACTTTTCTAGAGTCCATGCCTGTAATCTCGGCGAAAGTGCGTTGGTGTTCTTACTGATGACTGTCAAAACAGTGTGAAGTGGGTTGGATGAAAGAATGGTTGATATATCAGCTGTCAATCACAGGAGATCACAGGCTCCCATAGTCACAAGCAATGCCCATTTGATATCCATGCGGAATAAGTGACTGCCAGGAAGGAGCTGTAGTTCCTCGTAATTTTATTCCTCGTTTGAACTTGAAGTATGCAGCTCGAGCCCTTTCCCTGAAAATACTCGAGTGACTTGATTCTCCTTTTTTTTTAATATAGTCGTTCACCTTTTACAAGATTTTCCAAGAGCGTAGTGAACTTTCCTAAAGTAAATACAGCCCGTGATTTGCTTACAAAAGAGAAAACGTGGCGGTTACTGTTCATTCATAAAGATGATCCACTCGTTTTTTTTATCGTTTCCATGGGATTAATTTCTAGGAAACGTGGAGATTGTTGATAAAAAAAGATAAATTACTAGAATTTGGGGACTTTCAAAGGAAT